GGCAAGGAGCCCTCCTCCGCCTCCCAGAGCCGGTCGGCCAGCCAGGAGCGGGGCCTGGATGACGGCGCGCCCACCGAGGGGGAGAAGGACCGTGAGCCCAGGGGCGGCCATGGGGGCAAGGAGCCCACCATCCAGGAAGAAGAGAGAGCCCAGGACTTGAGGAGGTAACAAGTCCCAGGAGCATCTGGAGGCACGTAGCATGGCTGGTGTTGGGGACCCTTCAGTATAAGCCTCTGAGCCTCATTTTGTTCAGTGGGGGAGGGGGGTGCTAGTGCACCTGGTACAGGGTATGCGCAACTATGACGGGCAGTGGGCTCTGTCCCCCTGAAAACCAGCCTCTGTTCCAGGGTACCTCCCATCAGGAGTGGGTCATGGGAGGGTAGATGGAAATGAGGTAGAGGCAGGGCCCCTGGGTCTTAGCTCCTTTCTGCCCGTCGGGGTGGGAGGCAGCAGAGGCCCCATGCTCCCCAGCAGGGCTCCTCGGGCTCCCCTCACCTCTCCCCGCTTTGAAACAGCATCTTCAGATCTGAGCCCCAACTGTGCCCTCCTCTGTCTTGACAGGACCAACAGTCTGATGGTGCCCCGAGGCTCTGGGCTGGCAGGAGCCCTGGACGAGTCTGACACCCCCCTCGTCCCGCCAAACACAGAACCGGAAGAGGGGAAGGCGCTGACGGAGCAGGAGCCTGAGGGCAGCAGCGAGCAAGCCCTGCTGGGGGACGTGCAGCTGAACGTGGGCCGGGTCAGCCAGAGCGAGCCCGACCTCTCCTGCGTCACGGCCAACACGGACAAGGCCGCCACCGAGAGCACCAGCGTCACTGTCGCCATCCCCGACGTGGACCCCCTGGTGGACTCGACCGTGGTGCACAGTGAGGACACAGTCCTGTCCCCGTCACCCCTGCCACCTGGTCTGGGCAGGGGGGGTTGTCGGGGGTAGTCATGGCTCAGAGTCACCCAGGAAAGCTGCATGGAAAACCCCACCAACAGGATAAAATCATTCTTCAACAAGTGAAAAACAGGACAGTTTTCACCCGATGTGCAGGAAAAATCAGTTAGAATTTTCTCCATCTTAACTTTAGGCCATAAGATGTCCTTAAGCCCTGTGACCACCCTAGAGTCTTCGGAAAGATCACGTGTGAGTCTGGACCCAGATCTAGATTCAGCTCTTTGACTTGTATCAACATTTGATGGGCGTTTCCGGGACTTCCAAGGTGCTCTGCCACCTGGACAAATAGGGGGCCTCGGATGGGGCAGGGGTGGCAGGAAGGCTCGGTGGCCTGGCTCAGTCTAGCGCATGGCCTCCAGAATGCCTCTGTCCCGCCTCAGGCCTGTTAGTCACCTATGAAGTGAGAACACTGGTGATTCTGAGGTCTCTGTACTAACATTTTATGAATCTATTACTCTTATCTACTGTTTTTCTCCTCTAAGGTTTTAGTCCCTTTCTCTCCAGTTCCCTGGAGAGATTAACAAAGGATGTTAATCTAGGAGCCCTTAAAGGGAAACAGCAAGAAAGCACTAAACCGGCACCCTATCTCTGCCCTGACCCCATCCCCGGCCTGCCCTAACTCATCCATTTCCTGCCCTAACCCCACCCCCATTCCAGACCTAATCCCATGGTCACTGAATTGTGACCACAGGATTCTACCCTTGCTTTTCTCCCTCCCTGACTCGCTCCACCATTTCCTCTCTTAATAGGACAGTCCGGCGTTTCTTGCTTACTCTGTTACGTCTCTATCCCTTCACCTTCTCTACACTGACAATGCCAGTGCTGCTTGGGCGGGTGACATCTCCCAGGCCCGGGACTCCTGGGCTCAGCCGGTTCATGTCTCAGGATCTCAGACTCCCAACCTCTTTTGGGGTCTGTTTACTTTTATATTCCAATAAATAAGTATGTAGGCCCCTCTTCTATGAGAATCAGTAAGGAAGTTGGACCCTCTCTTTGTTCCCATTCTGGCGCCAGTCCCTGGCTTTGGTGATAGCTAATAGCATGTTATCAGAAGGCTTTTGGATAGTTTGGATGACTTATTTCATAGAAGGTCCCAGAAGGGGCCGACCCTCAGAGCTTTGATGTTCACATAAGGTTCCAGGGTAGAGTCACCCACTGAAAGGATCGGTGGAGGAGGTTGACGGGATGCCCATGGCCTACTTGATAGCCTCAACCTCTCTGCCCCTAACCCCACTGAGACTCGAGTATAAAACAGGGAGTAGTGGTCCCAAGAGCTCCATTCAGTCCTGGTCCCTTCATCCTCTCTATCCTGGATGTAGTCTTGCACCCATGTTCGCATGAATATTGCATTCTCATCTCTGCATTAATCATGACTGGAAAAAGCACAGCCAGGAAGGCAGCTACAAACAGAGGAATGGTTTCTAAAAATCTTCCATTGCAGTGTGATTTCATCTTGAAAGGATATAGGATTTTAGACTGGAACCTATATTGGCTGTAGGACCTTAAGATAGGTACTTGACTTCCCTCAACTTCATTTTTCCCATCTGTATAATGGGAACAATAATGCATGCCATTCAGCAGCTATTGATGTGAAAATTCAATAAGTGAATAAATACAAAGAATCCAGATTTTAGATAAATAAACTTTGTAAACTTTACAACATAAACCAACCTTCCGTTACCCAGGGAAATGTGGTAAGAATGAATGATTTATATGGCAAAGGCTATACCACATAAAATTAGGGTAAAGCTAGGAAGAGAGAAAGCGCTGGACTCCGTGTGACTAACAAACACCGCATGTAGGCAGGGCACCTCCCTCAGCACCTTCCTGGGGCCCCTTCCCAGCCCCTCCATCCCATCCCCGGTGAACCACCAAGGGCTCCATTCTCGCATGTGACAAGGTTTCTGAGGACATCCACATGTTCCCCTTGCAGTCAGCAACAAGACTGATGGCGAAGCCAGTCCCTTGAAGGAGGCAGAGATCAAAGAGGAGGAGGAGGAAGAGGAGAAGAGGCAGAAGAAGGAGAAGCGGGAGACGGGCAAAGCCATGGTGCCCCACAGCTCCATGTTTATCTTCAGCACCACCAACCCGTGAGTCCCTCCCATCTCCCCCATCCATCCAGGTGAACAGGCAGAGTTTGGGCCAGGGCAGGGCAACGGGGAGCTGGAGGGATGAGGGCCCAGTCCTCTTCCTGGTCCTTCCCAGTGGGATACGGCCACCAGACACATGCAGCATCCAGGGTGCTCACGGGTAGAGATGGGTCATGGAACTGAACATCCTCTGAATTCTGTGCCCATAGTCTAGGGAGTGATTTAAGACAGGAAAGCATTGCAGTTGTCATGAGGAAAGGACACTCATCTTCGGTCAGTGGAGGGAAGGGAGGAGGAAGTCAACTTGGGATGTGTTACCAAATGGCCCATAGCTGAGACGATGGTGCCTGTAATGATTGGGTCATCCATTGGCAGTTACAAGTATTGATCCCACTGCTTAATCCGAATCGCTGTGGATTTTGAAGTGGGTGTGTTTAGGGGCATGAGGTGGGCTTGGCAGAGAAAAGTCTGGAAGATTGGACTCGGGAAAAACGGGATTTTGAAAGACAAGCTTTCTTCTGCCCTTTAACTGAACGAGGTATACCTGTAGGCCAGCTTCTGAGGCCAAGAAGACAAGACAAGCAGGCTTTCCGTGGCCACGTGGGCAGGGTCCCGGCAAGGGTCAGGGAAGACAGGAACCTGGGCTAAGGACTGTCAGGTCACCTGGGGCCAGAATGCAGTCCATGGGATACAGTCTCTGTAATCAGAATGCCTGGAACTCATGAAAACCTGTTGCCACTTTCATCAGGAAGCTTAGAATCAAGGTCTATTTTTATGTTCCTTGGTTCTTCTGATCTGCTTGCTCTGCCCCAGTTTCTATACATTGAGATGTATACAGTGGAGGGCCCCCCGAGTGTGTGTATTCTGATGCTGGCTGCGCCCCACGGCTCAGACGTGCTTGCAGATAATGCGTCTTGGCTTGTGTACAGCAGCCTCCAGCCAATCTGATTACCTTTCCCCTCTGGGGCTTTAAATCAGGGGTGGTGCCTGAGAAATTAAATTGCTCTTCCCAAGGCTTCCTCTGGCCAGGGCCTGGCTGTCTGGAAGAGGCCGTTGTGCCTGTGTGCGGGGGTGGGGAGGCACGATGGGGACGGAGGGAGGCGCCGGCTCAAGGCTCATCCACCCGCAGGATCCGCAGGGCTTGTCACTACATCGTGAACTTGCGCTACTTTGAGATGTGCATTCTCCTGGTGATCGCGGCCAGCAGCATCGCCCTGGCGGCCGAGGACCCGGTCCTGACCAACTCGGAGCGCAACAGAGTGGGTGCACGGGCCCTTCGCCAACCTCCCCAGCGCCCTGGTATACCTGCCCCATCCCAGCATCAGAGGTGGCCTGAGGAAGGTTCCTGGGGAATGAGGAAGGAGTGAGGCCCACTGGGGCTATCAAGGGGGTCTCTGCAGCCACCCGTGGGCTTGGATGTGGAATCTGGCATAGGACATGGGGGTGAAGTTGAGGAGCACAGCCTGGGTTTCCAAGGGTGTATGTCAGGAGGTAGGAGGGAGGCAGGGAGGATGGGAACTGACAAGGATTTCAGATCCTGAGCCAGAATTGGGGGGAAGGTTTGCGGGGCAGTTGAGACCCAAGAAGATAAGTTCTGGCCACGGGGAGGGAAGGGCCTAGGACTGGCCCCCATGTCATGTGGCTCCAATCGGACCCATGGCTCCTCTTTTCTCTGCACCCAGCTAGTGGTTGCAATTCCAAGCTTCTACTCTGCAGTGGAAATGAGTGGGCGTTGGGTGGGCGGGCAGGGATGTGTCCGTGGGCAGGCGGGAGTGTGTGTGGCCGGGTGGCCATGCATAACCTCTTCCCCTGCACGCTATGTGTCTTCCAGGTCCTGCGGTATTTTGACTATGTTTTCACGGGCGTGTTCACCTTTGAGATGGTTATAAAGGTAAGAGTCTCTAGAGCAACGGTTCTCAACCTGTGGGTCGCGACCCCTTTGGCAGTTGAACGACCTTTTCACAGGGGTCGCCTAAGACCATCCTGCATATCAGATATTTACATTACGATTTATAACAGTAGTAATGTTAAAGTTATGAAGTAGCAACGAAAATAATTTTATAGTTGGGTCACAGCATGAGGAACTCTATTTAAAGGGCCAGAAGTTTGAGAACCACTGCTCTAGAGGAAACCTGGTGGGGTTGGGATAGGTCACCTGTTTGCTCCTCTAGCTTAGTGACCTTCCCCAATGCTGTCACCTACTGGCCAGTGACAGAACCTCAGTACTGGTCTCTGCAAACCCCTCCTCCAGCCCCAGGATCCTGATGAAGACCCTCCTGGCAGGATGTGACTGAGGAGGGCTGTTGGGGGAGCAGCCCTGTGGGTGTGGCCCGGAGGGGGAGCCAGGCCCACTCCCAGGAGGCAGTGGGAGTGCAGACACTGGGGACAGCAGTCGCCTCCCCAGCGCTCACTGGCTTGAGCCTGGGTATGTGCCAAGGCAAAGGGTTAGGTAGGGTCGGGTTTTCCTGGATTCTGTTTATTCCCAGCTGCACTCACTGCCTCTGGTCTGTTCCCCATCACCCTGACACCCACATTTCTCTCGTTCCCAGCCTCACCCATCTGGGATCTTTCCCATCTGTGTGTATGTAAGGTCCCAGTGGGTGAGCCATAAGGAAAGGAGGGACGTGTCAGGGCTCTGTGCCCGCTGAGGGGCCTCGTTGAGCCCTGGTGGCTATGAGACGGGACCTCGGGCTTCAGTTACATGAAGAGAGCCAGTCCTCTGCTCTTCAGGCCCCATGTGGGGTTGGTTATAGGGGCGATGGCAGTGAGGGCATTGCCTGGGGAGCCCAGAGCTCAGGGCACACATTGCCTGCCCCTCCACCTCATCAGTGGCTGTTCACTCCTTCTCCAGATGATCGACCAGGGCTTGATTCTGCAGGACGGGTCCTACTTCCGAGACCTGTGGAACATCCTGGACTTCGTGGTGGTGGTTGGTGCGCTGGTGGCCTTTGCTTTGGCGTAAGTAACTCTCTCTCCTGTTGGATTACCTTTCCTCCCTCCCTCCTGAGACCCTGGCCCAGGGGAGGCCATCTCCAGGGACAGCAGCGCCCTGAGTGCCAGGGCTGGTGGAGGAGGAGCAGGGCAAGTCTCTAGGGAGCGGTCCGAGGCCTGGTGCTCCTTTCCTGGAGATAATTAAATGTGGGCAGGGGCTCCCCTGTGTGGGCGGTGCCTCCATGGGCTCAGGGAGGGAGCCGGGCATGGCTGCTGGACCCTTTCATTGCTCGATTCTCTCGAACAAAGAGGCAGTTCTGGGAGATTTCCTCAGCTGGGACCTTTCATCTCTTCCGGAGGCACCCCCACCTCCAGACTCAGCTGCCTCGTAGGGAAATCATGTGGCCACTGCGCCAGGTTGAGTTTGTGAGCCTTCTGGGCTCTTGCACGGTGATGCGGTGCTGCCTGGCCCTCGGGTCTCAGGTCCTCAGTGTTCAGTGAAAGGCTTTGGACAGGCAGGGGGCGGGGACAGCGCCTCAGGAGGGGACACAGGAGAGGACAGGACCCTGTGTGTGACCCTACACTCCACCCCAGGCCCTCACTCCTCATTCCCGTTGCTCGACACGCTGCTTGCCTAGCTCAAGTCTGGTTGCCAGGTGAGCTGTCCTGCGCTGGATGCTAAATCGTAAACTCACCGCTTATAATGGCTTGTCAACGCAAATAGTTTAAAGGAAAAGTAGCAATTCTGCTCCCACCTCCCCCTCCCCTGACTTGGGCCTGGGCATCAGTCAGTCTCACGCAGGCTCTGTGGCAGCTGGTGCCAGAGCTTCCCATTGCTGTGTGCCATCGCCGCAGGGCACGAGGGAAGGTCAGGACTCCCTACCACGCAGGGGAGCTGGATTGCAGCCGCATTTGGCCTTTCCTTCCTCAGTCCTGGGCCGGGAAGGAGCATGAGTCAGTCTGCCTCCTGATGCCAGCAGGACCCGGAATTCCCACACTGGCTTTTATTCTTCTCCCTGAAGTGTGTCACTCTCCTGACACCGACAGGGGCCCTAAGAAGGATAAGGTCTGTGGAAGGCACGCAGAGCTCGCCGCAGCGGCAGAGCTGGTTCTGACTTTGTCCAATGACTTACACAGGCTCAGGCAATTTTAGATCTGGAAGGGGAGATCCTTGAGGAGCCCCAGGATCTGGTCCTCGGGTGCTGGTGTGGCTTTGGGAGCTTGTGTTTGGGAAGGCGTGAAGGTGGGGCACCTGGGAAAGGAATAACCATTTAGAACTGAAATGCGAGTCTATGTTTACGGTCAGCAGAACATAGGAACATTAGAACCATCATCTCAGCTGACACCTGGCTGCATCCAAGGCAGCCCCCCTCCAACCTCAAACTTTGCCTTTTTGGCTTCTTTCTTGGCAGCACCCCAAGAAAGAACTGAAAGGGGGGTCTCCCAAAGGAAGCTCTGAGTACACATTGATCTTGTAGAGGGGACAAAAGAGTGGACAGAGTTCTGCTTCATGCAAAAGAAGACCCATTTACCACTGAGCGAGACAGGTCGTCCAGCTCCATTGTTCTGGGGAAGCAAATGAAGGATTAAAATTAAATTTAGCCGTCAGGTAGCCCATTAACTGGACTTAGGCTGCCGGCTGAGCTGGAATTGGAAATTTCCAGCAGTGAGCGGAGAGGAAGATGCTGTTCCGCGAGACTCCAGCTTGAAGAGTCCCCTCCAGAGAGACTTTACCTGACTTTGCGCCAGGCAGGGACACTACAGATGATTAATGCCCATGGGCTCTTGGGATGCCCAGGGCTATATTATCCTCTGGCTGCCTTGGGAGGGTGGAGGGAGGGGCAAAGTGAGAGCCACATGGAGCGGGTGCCTGAAAGAGAGAGAGAAGTTCCCAGGCTACCTGCTCTTGGCATTGAGTCCCAGAATGCATGTGTCCTCTGTGACCTGTGCTGTTAGAGGACCCTCTGGGAAGTGGGCTTGGAGACCGTCATCGTATGGAGGCCGTGGGTGTGAATGCCCAAGCACTTTCTCTTGATTAACAAGCCCAGATTTGGGAGATGGTTGGTCATAAATGGCATCTCAGCAGTGAACAGATAGAAAGATGTTGTTCCGAGAGACCCAGAACCAAGCAGAATGAAATGGACCCATCAGGGAGCACGGCCCCATCCATGTGGTTCCTTCCCAGCCACGGGAGAGCCAGGTCCTGTGGGATTAGGAAAAACCACTCACACTGTCCTCACATTTGAAAGTAGTTTTAGAATAATTCAGGTCAGAGGAGGTCATGAGGGGAAGTGTCAGCTCCGATCATGTGACCCGCCAGCCATCTGCTTAATCCACACTGGCAGAGGCACAGCCTAGCATTATGAATTAGTCTCCAGCTGGCATGTGTGAGGGGGTGTATCTGGCTGGACTCCAGCCAGTACCTAGACCTTCTTAGAAAGATCAGCCGATGAGAAGGTTTGGGGTGTTTAGAATGTGAAGACTAAGAGCCAAGACATCAGGTCACTAGACTGACCAGATTGAATAACAAAATTGCTAGGAGACGTTCCGCCGCTCTGCTGTCTCCTGCCGTGGCTCCGAGCTTGGACTAAAATGCCTTCCAGTGAGAGTATGGTGCTGTGTTTGCCAAGGAGAAATGTGCACAGGCCAACATGAGTGTGTTCAGGGAGCTTGTTGAGGTCCACATGCAAGAAGGAAGTAATTCTGCACTAACCAGTTAGCATAGAGCCAGGCTCTGGTCCCAGAGCAAAGAAAGAAGCAGAGGATGTAGAGCTCATGGGTGACCCCGAAATGCTGAGCGATGGGCAGGAAGAAGAGGGACCCTCCCACTTGGCCACAGCTAAGCAGTGACGAGGTCAAAGTGCCGGCCTTGGAGCTCCCTCTTCAGAGACGAGCGCTGCCAGTGCAGAGGCGAGAGCTGCCTCCTCGTTTCCCTGGGGCTTGGAGTTTAGAGCGCTTCACCTCTGTCTGTCATTTGTCCCGGACGGGCCTGCTTTACACCTGAGAAATGGATCGCCTGAGGTTCAACTGTTTGACTTGTGCATAGCAAAGCCAGTTCTTAAACAATTGATTTTTTAAATTTTATTTCAAGTTCAGGGCTTTCTCCACGACATGACGCTCCCCTCTGTCTCAGATATTCTAGTTAGTTCCAAGCCATTACCCCTGTCAGCTCCAAGCAGTGGCTTGGTGTGGCTCTGTCCTCAGCCTCCAGCTGCTTTTGCCTCTGCCTGGAGACGGACAAGGCCTGTGTGCCTGATGGAGAAGGCATCTCTGGCCTTGCCCGTCTTGCTTTTCTGTCTGTACCTGGTTCTTCCATGAGCCCTCATCGGCCCCGGTCTGATGAAGGATGCTAGAGCAGACAGCTCAATGTTTGAGCTCGAAACTGCTGGTTCCTTGGCTGTTTCCTTCTTTGGCTAAACGCCTCCAGTGGTTTCCGTGCGGAAAGGCATTGTGACATCAGAAATAAAAACATAGGATTGAGAGTCAGGTAGCCTTAGGTCTGAATCTCAGCCCTCTTCACGGTTAGCTGCCTTCGCTCTCTGGACATCCACTTGCTCATCTGTACGTGGAAATTAAAAATAACTGTTTTTTGATCTTGTGAGAATTAAACAAGGTGAAATGCATTCAGTGTTCAATATAGTGCCTATAGAGCATTTAGAAAGTGGGTAGTACATGGTAGTTATTTTGCCTACCCAATAATATCCCAGACACTTTAGTAAGACTCAGGGCTCCTCCCAGCACGGCCCCTGCCCTCGCCTTCCCCTCAGCAAACCTGTCTGTTCCTAATGCAAGACATGCCCTCAGACCCCCTGCTGTTCTGTCCTGGGGGTAGGGGTGGGGGGACAGAAGGCCATGCCACCTAAGGAGGGGAGGCTCTCCAGGACGCGACACCCCCACTCTGTCCCCCGTGCAAGGAGAGTTGGGTTCTAGCAGAAATCCACTTGAGAGCATGTTCTTCGAGGACAGGGGACTGGAAGCTGAAGGGCAAGATTGCAGTGAGTGAGGAGTGATTACGCGTGAAGGATCTGGAGGGCACTTGGCAACTGAGCTAGAAAAGTCTCATCTTTTACTGATGAGACATAAGAGAAACATGGCATTATTTTCTGGAGAGCTGCCAGGAGCTTACCAAGTAAGTGGGAAGTAAATGGAAGATCGTATGGCCCAATTACGTCCCAGTTAAAGTGGGACCAGGGTGTCCTCGCGTGAAATTATCCTCAGACTTTAACATTAGAGTCCATTTTTAAACCTGGTAAAATTTCACTCATTAGCTAGGCAGTGTAAAAAAAATAATAATAGCCGAGGTCGGTTTGGCTCTAATAATAATAAATCTGATTATATATTTAATAGCAACGACTAGCAATGGATTATTGGATGGTTATATTTAAATGATGTATAAAGAAAGCACATGAATTAAAGTGCCTATAAGTGCTGGAAGAGTTTGTGCTGCTAGTTTGATATGACCTCTCCTGTGCGGTCTAGCAGACTTGGACATCAGCTTGGGTAGCTCTTACATGTGTGGGTTTGGGAAAGGTCCTTTGGCCTAGCCCCATGGTCGGCAAACTCATTAGTCAACAGAGCCAAATAGCAACAGTACAACGATTGAAATTTCTTTTGAGAGCCAAATTTTTAAAACTTAAACTATATAGGTAGGTACATTGTTATTAACTTAATTGGAGTACTCCTAAGGCTTAGGAAGAGCCACACTCAAGGGGCCAAAGAGCCGCATGTGGCTCGCGAGCCGCAGTTTGCCGACCACCGGCCTAGCCCATGTGTAAATCAGGGTATGTTTCAATGAACGGTGGCTAAGTTGTTGAGGCTATTCCTGACTGTCTGTCTTTGTTACCCAGAATTCCTTTCACTTCAAATGGCAATTTTCAAACCAGCGCTGAACATATGTTAACACAACTGCGAATGCAAGCGTGCCTTTCTGCAGCTATTCAAAATCAGAGCTTTCCAGCGGCTCCTCTGCACTGTGAGGCCTGTTGGGAAATGGTTTACTTTTGACCCATGTCTGATTACTCTCCCTGACTCAAATCTGGGGGAGTCAAGAGTGGGGCACAGAGCCCCCTTCCTCACAGTACATGGACAGCTACACTCGGCCCCTAGGATCGGAGCGTACCATCATGGTGCCCCGTTTTCCAAACAAGGGACACCCCGTAGGGTGTTCAGAGATCCCCTTGGTTCCATAGTATGATACTATAGTGGGATTCTAGGGCATAATTTATTGTAGAGAGAAAATTCTGTCCTCTACCCAGCTGTGTGGGAGGAGCGAGAATGCTTGACCCTTTCCTCCTAAGATGGGCGTCAGTATGAACCTCCGAGCACCTGCTCAGATGCTTCTGGATATAAACGTCTTGGGGCTAAGGACCTCGTCAAGCAAAAGTGAGCGCCTGGAGTGAGGGACCCGTGACCACCTGCCCGGCCATTGATCCCACTCTGTTCTCTCACTTTGGGGATAGGGAAGGTTCTCCCTTAGCTTTTGCTCAAGACGAATGCAGCCGGGGCGGAGGGGAGGGTGACCTTTGTCCATGTTGTTGTTTTCGTAAACTTTTCAATCAAATGATTCCGGTTTTCCGTAGCATTGAGCGTACAGTTTCACTTTGATTTGCTGACTTGAGGCCTGTCTTCCCTGCTAGACTGGGTGTTTCAAGAGGGGAGGGACCTTGTTTGTTTTGTTCACAACTGTGTATCCAGCACCTAGAAAGAGTTGCTGACGTATGTCAAGGACTCCACCAATGTTGCTGTATGAATGCATAAAGGGATCCTTGACTGACCAACCTGGTATTCTGGGTGAGAAGATCCTGTTGCCATTTAGGAGAAGGTATTTTCTCTGCCCACTTAATGTTTGGAGATTATCCCATGATGGATTTAAGGTTTAGGAGGCCTTGGGTTTACTTCCCAAATTAGTATCCATTTGTCATTTGCAGTGAAATTAATATAATTTTGAATACGGGACCATTTACTGAGTAAAATGGTATTTAGGAGTTTTTATGGTATATGGTGGTATAACATAGGTTTGTGGCACATTAAAAAAAATTTTTTAAGAGAAATTATCTTCACTGCAACCAGCAACTAAGAACCAAAGCCTGAATTCTAGGCACTGCCTCACAGCAGCAGGCCGGGTCATGAGGTACTGCAGCTCACTCTCCGGGCCATCTTATGCAAGGCCCATCTCCCGGCCGCCGGTGCCTTGCAGTTAAGAGGACCTCGGGGATCTGTTCCGGCCCTGGAATCCGGGGCGCTGTTTGACGGAGCCCAGAGCAGAGCCTGCTGGTGCAGAGGCCTAGTGCAGAGCAAGAGCTCCCAGCACCACAGCCCAGCTCGCCCTGCCAAGGCCGGGAGGGCGCTCACTCAGCCTCTCCGAATCTCTTCTGTAAAACAGGGATAGTAACACCTACGCCCTAAAGTTATTAGGGCGTCCAAATAAAGAGTTGCACTGCAAGTGCTTAGCTCAGACTCTAGCCAGGAAGAAACATGTAAAAAGCTAGCTCTCATGATTTCATCTCAAATATTTTACATTTATGCTCTCACCCTTTTTTTTGACATGTTTTAAAAATTAACTTTAGAGAGCGGGAGAAGGGAGAGAGAGAGAAACATTGGTGTGTGAAAGAAACATCTATTGCAACCTGGGTATGTGCCAAGCTGTTGTTACGCCTCACCAGTAGAGCTCAGATGATTTTTTCAAGTTGTACAGTAAACAGCTCACGATGGACAATTGGTCATTTAATTTATCAAAAGCATCCCTTCTTGTGACATGGGGACCCTGATAGACCACGCCTTCCCCATATTTCGAGGCGGTTTTATGGTGTCGCTCATCTGTGCTTTTTAAAGATGACAGAGTGCCCCTCCTAGCGTGGTCACATGACCCCTGTTGAATGAAGTCCTTCATGAGCATAAATATGGCAGGATGACTTGAATGGCCTTCAAGAGAGGTGAACTCTGGCCTAGAACAGGTGTAATTCCTCCAGCTGGTTTCTTATAATCTCACTGGAAACAGTGTTTGTCTGAAGACAACTAAAGAGATGGAAATACAAGCCCGCATTTAGAAGACGTCAGTGACTCTAGGCTCAGTGGAATAAAGTACGATGATGGAGGCAGCTGCACCCTCTGCCTTTGCAAGTGGGAGGGGGTGGGGAGCACGTGGGTGCTGGCCTGCCTTTCACAAAGCCTGTGGGTTCGGCGGGTGCCAAGGCCATGAGGCTGTGAGCGGGACCTCACAGGCCTGTGCACCTCCGGTTTCCTGTCTTGTAAGGTTCCCTTTGTCCATGAAGTTTCTGATTTTCTTTCTCCCCATCCCCTTTTCTCTCTCTTTTTTAAACTGCTTTCTGCCTGGATCCTCCATAGAAACGCTTTGGGGTAAATATTATTCTTAATTTTCTTTGAAGGAAGAACTTGGGCCTGGGTGGGAAGAGGGAGAAAGCATGTTTGGGTGGGGGAAGAGTGGCTGGTGAAGGAAGGCACAGCGCGTTTATGTGAGCGGTGACTTTCCACTGAAACCCAAGAGAATACAAATTAGGAGTCGCCAAGCTTTCTTGGGACGTGACCCTTCTCATTGGTTTGAATATGGATTTGGCTTTTCCTCTATTAGATAGGTAGATAGATGACCCTGATACAGTAAAAAAGTTTATAAAATGTACAAAGCCCCTGCATGCAAAAGACCTTATCGATGTGACATGTTTGGATTATCTATGTTCACCTCCAGGGTTGACTAAAAGTGACTTGTAGGTCATGGCCAACAAGAGGGTCTTTAAATTTACAATCTGATATAGCCAGCATTTCTTGAATTACATTAAATGTCTCCGACCTGGGATGGACGTACCTCCCTGTCGGGGGTGAGTGTGACAGGAAGAGCCCATCGGAGGTTCTGGGCCCCATTGCTCAGGTGGTTGGTGTGAGGGTCGTCTGGGCCCACACGAGGGAAGAACGAGAGCCTGAGCTCACTGCTGAGAGTCTCATCCGCACCGTCTGCGTGTTTTACAAACTGCAGTTGTTTGAATTGAATGCAAAGATCTCAGGGGATGAACAGGGTGGAGGGAGAAATTGCAGGTTGATTTATTCACTTCATTCAAGCTAAAAAGAAATGTATCCGTAAGGAGCAAACGTTGCCAAGAGGCTGCAGGGGGTGGGCCATTGGCTGTGGGGGAGGATGGAGGTGGGCAGGCACTGCAGTCTGGCTTCTCCCAGCACGGGGCTCTCTGCAGTCTGTGCTAGGCTAGCAGCATCTCAAATGGGGAGGGACTGCGGGAAGAGCCAGCCATACGGATCACTGGGGTGTGAGCCAAGGTCCTGGCAAGAAGCCTGCATGACATGCCGTCTCTGGAATAGGCAGCCCAGCACAGCAAGGGTGTCAGGTCCCCACCAGCCTTCCTCACCCTGCTCTCCCCTGAGCTGACAAGCTCTGCTGAGGTGACAAACCTAGAGCCAAAGACAGGGCGAGGCCAAGTCCCCTAAGGAGACTTGCTCTCAACCATGGGGTACTAATTCCTTTAACCAATGTCATTGGCGAGTCCACCACTGCAGAAGCAGTAGCCTGGGCACAACGGGGATCCACAGTGTGTGACCATCCTGTTCCCTAGTCAAGTTCTCTTCCTTGTTCATTTTGCCAGTGAGCTACTTAGCAACATTCCACTGGCTGATAGGGAGAGGAAGTGGTCATTAACATGTGTGCATGGATGCCTGTGTGTGTGTGCGTGTGTGCCTCTATGTGAGGATACTTATGTGTGTGTGCATATGAGAGTGTGCACACTGGGGAGTGCCCAATGAAAAGTTTCCCAATGCATGTTTTGTGGCGTCTCCCAGAAGGACCCAAGTCCTGGCCTTTGGCCTACCTCTCCCCCTTTACTCTGTGCTTAATGCAGAAATGTGAATGTCACTTTCATTTCTCCCCGTCCTGGGCTTCCCTGGGGCCTTTCCCCTGCAGAACCAACAAGGGGCGGGACATCAAGACCATCAAGTCCCTGCGGGTGCTCCGCGTGCTGAGGCCTCTGAAGACCATCAAGCGCCTGCCCAAGCTCAAGGTAACGCTTTCTGAGTTTCTTCCCAGCAAGTCCCCTTTGCCCATCCTCTCTCTGCAGCCACGGTTGGCTTGCTCTCGTAGAATTGTATCTGGGAATAGACCTGTTGCGCACATGGGGACTTAGCTTCTTTTCATCTACCTGGCAGCATCCCAGGAAATCTATGAAGGGGCTTTTGCCTCTTGCATTCGGCCTCGGGCGATAGTTTATACACTCTGGTTGTAGCCTGTCATTCAGGAAAAACCGTGTGACTGTCCCGGAGCCTCCCCAGATGGAAGCCGCGGGGCCGCTGTCTGCAGTCTCCACACTGGGTCAGGCCAAGTAACTAAGGTGTGTCCCTGCTTGAGATTCTGGAGCAGGACGGACTCTGGCACTGGCCCTTCCTGTTTTTGAGGCGCTGATAGGTCAGTCGCTTGCCCAAGAACAGAGGCATTTGGGGCAGAAGCAGAGAAGATACGGGGAAGTGAGCTAGGGTGAGTTAGGGTCTTCCTGTTGCCAGGAGCTGTGTTTGCTTTCACAGGCAGGTCATCTGGTTCTCTTGCTCCTGACAGGTGCCCTCCCTGATTCCTCCTGCCCTCGGGGTGTGCTTCCCCAGTCCAGTCCTGTTTGCTACAGGCTGAACCTGTCTCCCCCGCTACACATCCATTGCTGCTATGGAAGCGGAAGTGTCCTGGGAGAAAAGTTGTCTCCTGAATTCCTGTGAATGACAGCCAGCCCTGCTTCCTAGTTCCCCTTCCTCGTTAGGTTCACATATTCTAGAATATTCCCCACCAACCCCTCTGCCTCGTCCATGCTGCCCTCAGCACACTGTTACCCTTTCCACCCTCTGGCTCTGCAGAGGCAGCAAAATCAGCTGGATTTATCAAAGGCTGGGATGGCAGGGAAGTCACTTCTGAAAACCCCCTACCTGGCAGGGCCATGGCTTCCTCTTAGAGCCGAGGGCCCTGGTCACCTGCACGGGTTCCCAGGAGGCTCATGCCCCACAGGAAGTGCCCTCACTGCCTGCTTTCCCCGGCCCTGCCTTCCGGCCAGGAGGAGACACCTCCCACAGTGCCGGGCAGTCTTTCACGTGCTGCTTGTTACCGCCCTCCACCTGGTGAAGGGCCCAGCACTGGGCCTGGACTGGGTCAGTGCCCACAGGTATTCGTTCCTTTCTGTCCCACGCCAACCAGATTTGGCCGGGGGACCTGGGCCCTGACCACTCTTGGTAGCTGCCATCTTGTGTCTAATCTCTTCCACCCTATGTGGGATCCTGGGGAGGGGACAGGTGGTGTGATGCGATTAGATAACAGACTGGAGGGCGACCCCACCCTTGGCTAATTCTGTTTAATGAAGAAGAACTGGTCCTCTCTCTGTCGCTCGGTCACCGAGGGAGATGTGGATGGCTCTGACGGGTCCACAAGGCTGCATGTCACTCACAGTCCCTGCAGTGTTGAACTAATTACACCAGCAGTGTTCACCCCGCCCTGTGAAGAGCGACTGCAGAGATGCGATGCCACCATGCACCAGACTCTCCAGTGAGCTAAACCTAAAAACCTAGAAAATAACCTAAAAATGGCTTGCAATGTGTTGAGGTCCAAGTTCCTTCTCATGGCTTCGGGCTTAAAGCGGCTTCTCCCAAGAGGAATCCAGTGGCCCTTTAACTGAATATCCTGCGTTGGCGCACCTGGTCTTCCATGTCCACCCCAGGGTGGCTGTCCCTCCCTTCCCATACCACCTATGACATCTTTATCCCAGCTTTCAACTGGAGAACATTCATGTGAAGGGTTGAATGTAATTGGAGCAAACTTGCATTAAAATGGACAAAGATGGTAGTTTATTTCATTCCAACCCATTTAGAAAGGTAAAGAGAAAAGGACATATTTAGTATACGAATCAGATCTAAGAATGTCACCAAATACATGCACGATCAGGGAACAAGCTATTTAATGGCTGAAATGGGCTGAACGAACCCGAAGATCCCTTTCTGCAATAAATTTCCGTCTTCCCACCAGATAGAGTGCACCTAATGGGGTTCCTCAAAGGAGTTCCTCCATTGCCCGATGCATCTGTCTCCTTTGCTCTGGGGTCGCTGTCAGATTCAGAGCATGTGTCCCCTTCTCAGGTGGTGGGTCCTTGTAGTCGTGACCAGCTTGGAAGCCAGTTCTGAATCCCATGAGTGTCACTGCTTAGCAAGGCGATGTCTCCTGAGGCACCTTCTCAGTGGGCTGGCTCAGCTCTAGGCAAACGCGCAGGCCCTTCCGGGACTCACACCCCGGCTCCTCTGTGCACAGGCTGTCTTTGACTGCGTGGTGACCTCACTGAAGAACGTCTTCAACATCCTCATTGTCTACAAGCTCTTCATGTTCATCTTTGCTGTTATCGCCGTTCAGCTCTTCAAGGGAAAGTTCTTTTATTGCACGGACAGTTCCAAGGACACAGAGAAGGAGTGCATGTAAGTGCCACCACGCATCCCGTCCCCACCGCCCACTTTCGGCTGAAGTGTGTTCCCAGGAGGCCCACGCGACCTCCATACGTAGCTCTATTCTTCCTCTCATACCCTTCACATTCCTCTTTTAGAAAAAGGCAAAATGGGAGGTTGCTAAACTTTTATTGAGTATATAGAATCTTTTTTGTATCCGACATGGTACCTGTCATTCTATCATATATATATATATATGTATATATGTATATATTGTATTTAAGATCATATGTATATCTGTATTCCCTAGGCAGTGTGTGTAGATAAAATAGAGAGAGGACTGATGGGTCTCAGAGGAAAGCTGGGGGGTGAAGATATTAACCAAAGAACTTAGATGCATATATACATAACCCATGGGCAGGCAATTTGGTAGTTCAGCGAAAGTCTTGGGGTTGGGGGGGGGGGACAGGAGAGGGGTGGAGGTGACCAGAGAGAGAGAGAGAGAGAGAGAGAGAGAGAGAGAGAAAGAGAGAGAGAGAGAGAGAGGGAGAAGATAGGAGAGAAAAGAAAAAGGAGAAAAAAATATTATATATGTATATATGTATATATTGTATATATGTATATATGTACATATGTATATATTATATATAATATATATATGATCTTAATCTTTACAACCACCTTTTGAGATAGGTTTTATTTGCATCTTCTAGATGTGGAGCTGCAGCTCTGAAAGTTTAGGTGACTGAAAGGATTAGGAGTCAATCTTCTATGTCTGTTGGGCACCAAATCCCATTTTTATTCCACAGTGATACCCTGCCTTGAATAAAATTCCTTTTTCATTGCATCTGTACGCTGATCAGTTACCCTGCATCATTGAAGTCCATAGAATTCCCTGACTCCCTAGGAGCTATAGTGAAGGGGCTCTATTTCATTTCTGCACTGATTTTAGAGGCAACTACGTAGATCACGAGAAAAACAAGATGGAGGTGAAAGGTCGGGAATGGAAGCGCCATGAATTCCACTACGACAACATCATCTGGGCTCTGCTGACCCTCTTCACCGTCTCCACAGGGGAAGGATGGCCTCAGTGAGTGACGAGCTTGCTTGTCTGTGAGCTGGGGTGGGACCATGTGGCTGCCTTTGAGAAACCGATTCAAGATGAACCAGGGTAACCCTTAGTTATTATACCAGGGAGAGTAAGTGGCTCTGAGTGGGTGAGAGAGGCAGGAGAGAGGAAGAATGGGAATCCTTAAGGCAAAAATTGAGAGGGAGATGACAATGTCTCGGAACTATTTGAAACTTTTAAAGTTTTAGCCAAGTATTGAGGAGTTGAATGGACCCATTGAACTCTTATGGAACAAGTAAGTTTTGAACAGCTTTCTATCCCTTACAAGAGTCCCTGGGAGTTGTTTTAAACAGATTTAACCTCCAACCTCGCCCTACACCTGAGGATTTGAGGATTTTAGGGATGAGCTGGCAGAACACACAGACACTTTCTGTGATCACACCTCTTCTAAAGAAGACAACAATGTCGTTTCTTTTTTTTCCAAAAGATTTTTTTATTGTTTTTAAGAGAAGAAGGGAGAGGGAGAGAGAAATATGGATGTGAGCGAAACATCAATTGGCTGCCTCCTGCACACCCCGCTACCAGGGGTCCAGTCCACAATCCAGGCATGTGCCCTGACCAGGAATTGAACAGGGAACTTTTTGGTGCATGGGTCGATGCCCAACCAACTGAGCCACCACGGCCAGGAAAGAACATAGTTTTTATGCTACCCATAGCTGTACAGTGGCTTCTCAGAGACTTGGCAGTTACTAAGATGCCTCTTTCTGGAAGCAGCATGCTCTAGTTGGCAGCAAAATGCCAAGTGGAAATCAGGAGTCTCTTGGTATTGAATATGACAACCTACACTATCAAATAATGTCACTCTGTTGCTTAGAAGTTAGATGCCTGATGGAGCGGGCTAGAAAGCAGTGGGTTGAGGGTCACTGAGTCCCCACCAACTTGGTTATTGTAGACCCCAAATATATTAACGGAGGTTCTGCACAGTCAAGGGGGCCAGACAAGAAAATATAATCGGTGGCATATCTCCTACTGAAGCCTTGAGTCAGAGCAGCGGCCGGGACGGCCATCCGCCATCTGTGCCCCCTCTTCCTGTCCCCACAGGGTTTTGCAGCATTCTGTCGATGTGACGGAGGAAGACCGAGGCCCGAGCCGCAGCAACCGCATGGAGATGTCCATCTTTTACGTGGTCTACTTTGTGGTCTTCCCTTTCTTCTTTGTCAACATCTTCGTGGCTCTCATCATCATCACCTTCCAGGAGCAAGGGGACAAGATGATGGAGGAGTGCAGCCTGGAGAAGAACGAGGTAGATCAGGTGGTCTGCAGCGTGGGCAGGCAGGGCACCAGAAAGGGACTCAGACCAGCAGTGTTGGCAAGGAAGGCAGTTTCCTTAACTTAATATTTATAGGGAGAAGGTGGGGAAATTACTCGGTCGTTAAGTAAACTTTTTTTGAGCATCGGCTCTGTGGAAGGACTATAGATGCCGTGCAGAGTCCAGAAGTGTGCTGTCTGGTGGGGGGTCATTAAGACACCTGGTCACCTGGCTGTGTTGCTCTGTGACGCATGTTTGCTCTAAAGGAAGGGGGTATGGCTCATTTACAACTGCTTTTCTAGTAACAAGCATAGTTCTGGTAGATTATAGGGTTCGTTGTTTTATAATGGAACTGAACTAGAAACTGGGACCATAGGGGAAGTGCATCAAGTGCTATGGGAACGCGTAGAGAGATTTTGCTTTCTGACTGAGGGCATCAGATAAGGCTTCCTGCCTAAGCATCTTCGCCACACGCCATGTGAAAAGGACATTCACATTAATAACCATTAAGTCCTTACCCCATGTGACAGGGCCCCCCCAGTTCTGTGTATTCATTTAAGGTGACATGTCAACTACAGTGTTGTCCAGACAATCCCTCTTGCCATTTTTACATCTGCTTGTGCCACCCTACGTTTTATACACTGTCCTCTTCTTCCAACCACCTAACAGAGCCACGAATGTGCAAGGCTTGGGGGATTGGGGCTTGGGCCAATAACCAATCACGACTTCCCTGCAGAGGGCGTGTATCGACTTCGCCATCAGCGCCAAGCCGCTCACCCGCTACATGCCGCAGAACAGGCACACCTTCCAGTACCGCGTCTGGCACTTTGTGGTGTCTCCATCCTTTGAGTACACCATCATGGCCATGATCGCCTTGAACACCATCGTGCTGATGATGAAGGTGAGAGGGTGGTGGCCGGAGGCACTGGGGCAGGCGAACCTCGGGGACTCTTCCCTCACAGAGCAATTGTGTGTTCACCCAAGACACCCCACCTTCCCCGTGTGAGGGTCCTTACCTACTTTTCCGTCATGGAGTCTCTTTTTTTTATCTTCTCTCCATCAATAGCCCAGCCTCTGAGTCTTTGGGGCAAAATACAGTGAAACATAGCAGCTTCTCAGTGGTTCCCAAGACCAGAGGTGGTGCTGGCAATGAGTTTCAGACAAGGGTGGAAATTTGCGGAGATGTAGGTGATCACAGGGTTCTAATGGAGTGTTGGAAGAAGTTTGACCTTGTTTAATATGAAATGGGCAAGTTTTTTTTTTTAATATATTTTATTGATTTTTTACAGAGAGGAAAGAGAGGGATAGAGAGTTAGAAACATCGATGAGAGAGAAACATCGATCAGCTGCCTCCTGCACATCTCCCACTGGGGATATGCCCGCAACCAAGGTACATGCCCTTGACCGGAATCAAACCCGGGACCCTTGAGTCTGCAGGCTGACGCTCTACCCACTGAGCCAAACCGGTTTCGGCGAAATGGGCAAGTTTTAACTCTGGAAAAGGTTTCTGTCCTGCCCACCTTCATCTTGAGAAGACTGGCGTTTGCTAATAAGTAGCCTTGGGGTAGGGTCTGTGTTTCCCTCGGTTTTATTTCGTTCTTCCCTATGGAATATGTAAGTCTTCTCTGCAGAATTCCATGCCAGTCTCTCCTGCACCACGTGCCAGAACGCCTCCCGAGGGCAGGGGTGAGAGATGGCCAGCCTCGGGTTCACAGAGTACCCCTCTCACTTTAAGGGTTGGTTCTTTCTCTCCTCTTTTCTCTTCCTGGCAGTACTACTCTGCACCCTGTACTTATGAGCTGGCCCTGAAGTACCTGAATATCGCCTTCACCATGGTGTTTTCCTTGGAATGTGTCCTGAAGATCATCGCGTTTGGCTTCTTGGTACGTGATGGAATGTATCCTCATCCCATTTGGCTCCCCAGCCTTTGTGGGAAGGAGGGTGGGTGCCACAAAAACACGGTTCGTGTACCTACCCACCTAATGGTGGGCTCCTTTCCACTAGCTGCTCAGTAAACTGCCGTGGAGACAAGGCGATGGTGGGTTGGGAGAAAGGGCAAAGGATAGGAGAGTGCCACACTCATCCAGCCGTCAGCTCTGGTCCTGTCCGATTCTGTCAGTGGTCGAGAGGTGACAGTCAGTGGGTCTCACTAGCGCTGCGATTTAGCAATTTATCTGTTGCTAGGGAGCAAAGCAAGGACTGAACTAATAAACCTGGAGTGCTCATTTACTGTAAAAGGCATAAAATTGTATAACTCAAATGGGAAAATAGCTGTCCCTCTTAGCCTCAAACATAGTTGATAATAGGTTTTACCTAATGTGCCTCCTCCCCTTAGTCACATGAGGAGTAATTTCTGCCAACAAAAATGTTTATTAAGCCTATAAAAGCTAATGACCTTTGAAGTGTGTATGTGTGTGGGCGGGAGAGAGAGGTGTGTGTATTCTGGAACTGGGTTTGGGAAGGGTTGGGATGAGTTTTTCTGGCAGGAGTCCTCCTTTGACTTTTCAACTACTCATTGTAATCGGCACATTCTTGCATCTGCTCTCCAGAGCATTAAGCGAACCTAGCCCATTGCCTCAATGTCCTGTAGACAAGAGAGTCCTCTCGGCCCCCACCCCCTTGCGTCAGCGTTTACAGGGAGACCAGTGGGCTGCAGGGAAACCCACTCGACAGCTGTTTCCCCCTGATTTCATGTGAGCTTCCATCGCAAACGAGATGTGTGTCCAGGTTTCTCTGCAAGAAGGAAAACTTCCCTTGCGAGTGCTGATTGTGGGGTTGCCTTTGCTCTGTTAAGGCCCTTTGAAAAGTCATTAATTTGATGGCTTGGGAGGAGAGTGGAAGGAAACCCATTGCAGGTGGGTTTGTTGTTTGCCTCACTTTCTTTTGAGTGTTTTGAGACTTGGAGAAATAAAAGAGTGAAAAGAAACCACCACCAACAAAGATGTCTGGGTAATACAGTTTAGCCCTGAGTGCAGGGTGAGCGGGGTGAGAGAGAAGTGGTATGGCAACGAGGGAGGTCTCCCTGTGCATCTTGATTACTTGCATGTGGCGTCGATGCCACCTGTGACTTAAGTCCCCAATTACGTGTCTACTTACGGTAAATGCTGGGTACAGACTTTGTCATTCAAGGTTTCGAGGCCTCTCCACACTGTGAAAAGCACCACTAGTTCCAGGTACATCTTTACGTTGATAGAGTGCTCTAGGTCAGTGTTCTGCAAACTCATTAGTCAACAGAGTCAAATATCAACAGTACAACGATTGAAATTTCTTTTGAGAGCCAGATTTTTTAAACTTAAACTATATAGGTAGGTACATTGTTAGTAACTTAATTGGGGACTCCTAAGGCTTAGGAAGAGCCACACTCAAGGGGCCAAAGAGCCGTATGTGGCTCGCGAGCCGCAGTTTGCCAACCACGGCTAGGTGTTCAGTACCCTAACATGCACCACGTCAGGTCTTCTCAGTGACTGAAATAGCCACGGCAGATAGCATCATTAGCATTATTATTGTTCATTTAAATGAGGAAATGGAAGATTTGAAAATTGTGTAGTTCTTTTGAGGATTACACAATAAAAGGCAGTAGAATTGGAAAGTGTAATGGGGACAAAAAAGGAAGAAAAAGAGGGAGTGAATGAACATATACTGGTTGTCTATTAAGTACCAAATATTTGACATATTATTCATTTCAGCTTCATAGCAGCTCTAGTCAATGGGCAGTGGTCTTCCTTATGGGTGAGCCAGGGCTCAGGCAGATCGAATGCTTTGTCCAGGGATCCTACAGGGCAGAGCCAGCATTCAGACCCTGGTCTGGCTGACTGGGAAGCCCACACTCCGTCCACCATAACGTACTATTCTGACTACACTGTGGGTGCTCTACCATACTGTCGGAAAGCATCCTCGCCTGGAATCCAGGTCTTCTGTCCTCTGAGACCTGGCTTTGTATCCTCTCTGCTCTATGGGGCGAGATCCCAGTACTAGGCAGCTGCCCCAGGTTGGGGATAGGAGGAACTTGGAGACTCGCCTTGGCTGCAGATCTGAAGGAGTAGGTATTCGCCATGGAAAGTGTGATTGTGAGGCTGTGTGCTCCAGTTTCTCTATATGCCTGGCAGGTACATAGGGCTTGGGAATCGGACAAGCCTCGCTTTGCTCATTCATAAAATGAGGATAACAATAGCTACCTTGCAGCCTCAGATATTTGTTGTGTGTATCCAATTAGGCAGTATGCCCAAGGCATCTAAGGCTTCCAATCCTGAGTAGGTGTTCATTATACGTAGCTCATCTCCGCACAGTCCTTCCCTATCTTTGTCTCTCCCCACTCTTCTTACCAACCCTCAGTGTTGAATGAACATCGGTATCACTATCTACCTGTAGACTCCATAGGAGGAATAGATGAGTCAAACGAATGCCAAGGGCCTGGCCCAGTATCTGGCGCACACAGCAAGGACTCACTGATGCCAGCCGTAAGGATGGGAGGGGGTGCACTTCTATAGTGCTATGAGAGGGCTGTGGGCAAGCAGGTGACATTGGGAGACCTGTGTGCTCTGTGTCTTTTAAGGAACACAGTCCAAGGTCTTTGCTCACCTGAGCCCTGGAAACAGCCACATAATCCACTTTTAGGCAGAGTGTTATCTGATTGGTGGATTTTCTGGATTCTTTGTCTCTCCTCCATCTCCTTCAACCCACTCACTTTATTACTGCTTCCTTGTACTTTATTTCATTACACCTCCTCGAAAGGAGTAACAGGGCAGAGGAAGAGAGGGGAAACCAAGTCTGATCATCTTATTGCAAAGCAGCCGTTGGTTTGAAAGGCTCAATGGAGTTAGAGGCGATTTTGGCACATCTTTCATCTCTAGTCACTTAGGACATCCCTGTGGCTTTTATTAGTAATTGCAAGTCAGAACTGTATATTTATGGGGTCACGTGATACCAGATGGATAGAGTTATAGTTGTAGAAATCCTTGAAATAATATTGTAAATAATTTGATTGTCTTGTAGGTGACAGTGATCTTTCTTTTTCGGGATTTATGATGTTCTTGGCCACAAATCTCTTCCTTACATATGAGCTTTTTAGTGACACCTTCAATAACAAGGTCTTCAAATAATGATGAAACTGCTTCCCGAATGAGAAATTCCCAAATTAGTAAAAGGAGACATAGCATTTCTGGTGAGAAATAGGAAACTGAAGCCAATGATAGAATGAACTTGTACATAAATTAACAAGTTTCCATTCCAAGTGACAAAGTTATGTAATGAAAGTTATCTTTTCCCCAGTTTTTCTCTTCTTCCTGGTTTTCTGTTCCTCCCTTTTCTGATGCCCGCATCACTGAATTCTCTTGGCAGAACTATTTCCGAGACACCTGGAATATCTTCGACTTCATCACCGTGATTGGCAGCATCACAGAAATCGTTCTGACGGACAGCAAGGTGCATGGCTCATAGAGCTGGTCTTTAAGCTTGACCCTGAAGTAGCATCTAAAAAAGCCCTCTGCACGTTCAGTCTGTTTTAAACGCATCAAACCAAACCTGTAGCCCTCTGAGTGTGGGGAGCTCACTTCCTCACTCCTGAGCTCAGGCCAGAAAATGCCAACATCGGAGGGCCCCAGGTCTCCCGGAAGCCTTGTTTCATTTGCGTGACTCACATAGCAGACATCTCCTGGAGTGGAATGGATAGAGAGAGTGCCAGAAGAGACCTGGTGTCTAGGAGTTTTGCCCCCAAAGTTGTTAGACCTGAATCGTTTCCCCAAACTGTTCATCCTAAAGAAGACTTGGAGAGCTCATAGGAGCGCTCTTAGGATGTTGGAGGAGATCAGTTCGTTGGGCATCTAAGTGCAGAGTTAGGACCACTTACAGAAGATGAGCAGGTTGTTTCTGTCTAACACAGGGCACCCTCCAGGGTACTTCCCACCCCCCCCCCCGCCTTCTTCCTGGGAATAGACGGCAGGCCTGGGGAGGCTGGGAGAGATGGTCCTCACTGGCCCATCAGCCAGAGATGGGGTTAAGCACGAAAGACAGAATCCATGTCCAATTTTATTACCTGAATGAGGGGGAAATACGTAAATACTAACTAGTGCTCCTCTTTTCTAAATGATTCTAATGCCACTAATTCTGCGTTTCCTTTCGGTCCGCCAGCTGGTGAACACCAGCGGCTTCAATATGAGCTTCCTGAAGCTCTTCCGCGCCGCCCGCCTCATCAAGCTTCTGCGTCAGGGCTACACCATCCGGATTTTGCTCTGGACCTTCGTGCAGTCCTTCAAGGTGAGAGGCACCCGCTCCTCCTCTCCGAGGGTCGGGGTGGCCCTGTCAGGGCCGACAGCACAGCCAGACAGCACAGCGTCATTACACAAGTCCCTTCACCTCTGACGCTGGTGGAATGCGGGTGTGTCAGGAGCAGTAGATACACACAGTACAGCTCGGCCGCACAGCGGGCAGCTTATGTCTAACCGGATAGCATCTCATTCTAGAAAAACACCTCAACTTTGTAACTCAGTTATCTCTTCTGTCCACTGAGGCAGGGAGCTTATCTGAGGAGGCATTCCAAAACCTTGTCCATGTATAGAGCCAGCCACCTGTAGTCACTAACCCTCTGCATTTTCAGGGACGTGACAGTGGCTTTATCTCACAGAACAGGACTCCTTGAGGTCTGTTTTATAGCAAGACGAGTCCCAGCACATCTTCATTAGTGTGTTTCTTGAGCCACTGGGTGTGTGGCGTGCTCACGATTGCCTCTGTGTCCTGTATACCGACAGGATGCCTGGCAAGGGTAACACGGGAGCATCTTTGGAACATACAGAGGTGTATGTGTGATTAAGTGTAAGTGGAATACCAATACCTGAAACCCACTTTAATGGCAGAGACTTCCAGTAGAAGAAGTTCCCAAACGTATTTAAATATCTTCAATCTCTAGCAAATATCATAATTAGCTGTTGTTGTTTTTTAAAGGGAAGCTTTTTTAAAAAATATATTTTTGTTGATTTCAGAGAGGGAGAGAGAAACATCAGTGATGCGAGAGAATCACTGATCGGGTGCCTCCTGCACACCCAATAATGGGGGTTGAGCCCACAACATAGGCATGTACTCTTGATTGAAATCAAACCTGGGACCTTTCAGTCTGCAGGTCGACGCTCTATCCACTGAGCCAAACCAGCCAGGGCCATAATTATTTATTTTTAAGGTTCAGGGGGCCTAAATATTACTCAAATGCTTACTATTTTCCTCTTATACAAAAATAAGCTTTTCCATGACTGTGTTTTAAAAATGAATTTGATGCTATTCAATGATTGAAAGATAAAAAATCACAGAATTGTCTTCTTTGTTTTAATTATTTATATATGGGGTGGGCAAAATTAGGTTTACAGTTGTTTATGTGGAAAAAGACATGCAGGTTATGATTATTTACAATAGCTTTATTAACTCTAAAGGATGTCACAGTGCAACTGTAAACCCTCTTTTGCCCACACTTGTCTTTTAAGTCCAAGTTGTGATAAAGAGTTTGCAGTTTCTCATCCTTCACTCTCATCATTGATTCACTTCTCCATCCAGGACCCATGGGCTTGAGGTGTGAGATGTGAGGCCAGTTGTAAGGACGTTCACTCAGGCTCCTCGGAGCAACCTTTGACATTCTTACTGTATCCAGAGTAACTGTTTGATGTGATAGCTCCCATGGAGGCCTTTGGAAAACCACGTTTCCAAAGCTAACTGGCAGAGGGGAAATCTAAAACCTTAGCGAGAATTTACTACGAGTCTCGGGTGAATTCAGATTTAGAATTTGAAACCAGATGCTCTTAAAACCTTTTTCTCTAGAAGCCACCCCAGCAAGCTATCATTTGTTCTTGAGTCTCTTAAGAACTATGTGTCAGCCTGTCATATTATCGTGATCACCATTTCTCTGTTAAAACTGAACACTATGTAGGGCAAAGAAAAAGCCTGTCAAAAATTGATGGCCAAATGGTTGGCTTATTTCGGTGAATACACAGACTGGTGAAGACAAGTGACACTGTGACGGGTAGGTGTTTCCATTTTGGAACAGTCCTGGGACAGGCATAAAAGTTGTTTTCCCAACATTGACAAACCAAGGCTGCCTCTGCAAATACACAGCAGGCGCCACACAATATATATAAAACAGCATGGCACTGCCTGTCCCCACCCTCCCAGCCCTGAGCTCAGCCCAGGTCTGCACCACTGCTTTGGCATTTATGAGGTGATAAAGAAGAGATCAGAATGAATCTTCAGTCCTCTCGCCAAAGCTGTGGGAAGGGAGAGATGAACTAGGGCCTGGAGCCCTTGGAGGAGAGAAGGTAGAATAAGGGCAGGAGGTGAACATAGAAGTTGGTAGAAGGTAGCACACCCAGGTGGCAAACAACCTGCCTCCCTACTCTCTCCTTTCAGCAGAGGGAGTCTCCCATGGCCCCTCGAAATGCAGCCCACAGATCTCAGGAGTCAGCACTCATTGGAGAGGGGGTTCTCCCACCAACTTTTACCCTTTACTCACATTACCAGAGTCTCCCAGGGTCCTCCATGCTGTGAGATCTGTTGGTGAGCCCTGCGGCTCCTGCCGGCCGAAAGCCTGGAATTGATCCCCTGGGATCTGCACTGTCCACACTCAAGATAGAGTGGAGACGCACAGTTAGTTGTGCCGCCTTTCAGGGAGCTTCCTGGATGATAAAGAAGAGGGATTTGCACGTCAGCACTGAGATCACCGCAGAATTACAGTGCCCACCCTGGCCCCCGAACCCAACTGCCCTGTGCGCATGGGCCCAGCCACCCAGGGCAGTCTCCTGCCTTACATTTCCTCCCCTGGCCCCCTTCACCCCTGTAACTGAGATGTCGTCCCTAAGCGGCAGTTCGCTTGCCCAGCGTGGAACTTGGTGCCGCCTGATTTTGGACAGGGCTTGGTGGTGGCTGACACCTAAAAGGCGTTTGGGGATCTTACAGGACACGTATGGGAATATCAGGAACCTAAAACTTTGAGAAAAGATGTTTTCTCAGAGGATGAAGGAGCCTTCTAGGAACTGACAAACAACCGAGACCCCAGCGTTTGTGTTTGTTCATAGATTCTTCTCATGGGCTTCGCATTGAGTGGGGGAACGGGAAAGGGTAATACCAGGATTGGAGCCAGGGCAGGATGCTTGCTGTGTAATTTGCATCACAATGGCCCACATGATTAATATTCTGTTGTGCAAAGTGGGATGAGCCCCAGGCCCAGGAATTTTCCCAGCTCTCCCTGGAGATCCGGGCTATACTCCAGGTGAGGGAATATTCTGGACAGGAGGTAAGTTCTGAGCCTCCCTGTGGCCAACAGCTCCCATCTCTGTCAGAGGATGTGGACATCTGCAAAGTATGGCACCCCGAAACAGGACAGCCCCAGGGACACAGCCCCAGAGAGTCTGCATACGTCAGCCTCCAGACAAGACTCCTTTACTGCCAGTGACTGCAGGCCGTTGAGCCTGGGAGCTGCCTGCCTTTGAACTCCTGGTCACATCTCTGCTTTCCTTCCAGGCCCTGCCCTACGTCTGCCTTTTGATCGCCATGTTGTTCTTCATCTATGCCATCATTGGGATGCAGGTGAGCGGGGGCGCGTGTGGGGCCTGGTCAGGGTGGTTGTGGCCCAGACCGTCTCTGGCTCACTGAGAATCAGGACTTGGGGTGCATTAAAGGGGCACACTCCCAAGGTCTTGTTGCCATGTGACCTTGGGAATTTCCCAGGTGCAGGCTTCCCCCCTCAGGTTGCCCAGGTAGGCAGGGTGGTCTGTTACAGGGGCTTCATCTGAGGTGGTGAGACCATAGTGATGACTTACAGCAGCTGGACTTCCAACAACAAAACCACAGCAAAGGTAGCACCAGTGTTCTTGGCCAGAGGGTGCCCAGGAGACTAAGGAGGGGGCAGGGCTCATGCTGATCCACTGCTCAGGGTCTCAGGTATTGGAGCCAGGCCTTAAAGGTCAATGGCTGATCTCCTATATACAGTGACGCAGAATAGGGCTGAGTAAAATCCTGAATGGCTGAGATTTACAACCTGAAACTCACCCCGGGGAACAGCTTGCCAGGTTCTTGGCAGCATGCCAAACCCTAGACCAGAGGTTCTCAACCTGTGGGTCGTGACCCCTTTGGCAATCGAACGACCCTTTCACAGGGGTCGCCTAAGACCATCCTGCATCTCAGATATTTACATTACAATTCATAACAGTAGCAACATTACAGTTATGAAGTAGCAATAAAAATAATTTTATGGTTGGGTCACAACCTGAGGAACTGTATTTAAAGGGACAGAAAGTTGAGAACCACTGCCCTAGACCCAAGGGCCACATTCCAGCTAGTTCTTCTCAAAGGGCCATGCAGCTGGCTGGTTACACATCCTTCCCGGTTTGGGAATTGAAAAGTGGAGCTCAGGTTCCCACCCTGGGTATCCCTACAGTTGCCAAAGGCCCGTCGAGCGGAAGAGGCCTAAAGGTCTCTCACAGGCAACTGTCATTTAGGGTGTGTGGGCTCCTGCCGAAAACACACAGCAGCAGCCCATGGACCTACCCGCTGGGGACACAGGCTCTCTGCTTGTCTCGGGGAGGCTAACTCTGGCTTGGAGGCAGGGAGACTAAGCCCCAGCACAGAACTTCAGCCGAGCGGCAGTCCCCTGCAGTCAGGCAGGCTGCCACCTTTGGACGGCTGCCCGCTGTCCCCTTCACAGCACCTGCCACCAGGAGCCACTGGCCACGCCTCCCAGGCCTGCCCAGTCAGCAGCCCCCGCCAGGGCCCCTCTGAAAGGCTCTCCCCTTTTACTCCTCTTTCGCGCCTGCACTTCAGGATTTCGTTCATCTTCTAACCCCATTACTGGAGACTTTATATGATAGAAGCCAAGTGTCAGAAAGTGTGAGAGTTGGCTGAGAAGTAATGAGATCTCCTTCAGAGAGGACACGTCAACAGGGGTTTAACGGTGATGTCCGGGGCGTGGAAGAAGCTAACTCCCAGCGACCTTGAAGATTGCCTTGACGACTTCCATTAAGTCCCTTGGAACTTCCGAATATTTGGATCTAGAATTAAAATCTTCTTGAACAGCCAAATGGAACTTGATAAAATTACCTTCTTTTTGGCTTATGCTGAAAAATAGTTCTTACCGCCTTTTTCATTTTCAAACAAAATAAACTAGAATTACACCATCTCCCATACTAACTGGTTATTAATACTACTGAAAATGGTGATAATGCTGTAGTGTTCACCATTACTCAACTTCCTGAGTGTGGCAGGCACTGTGCTAAATGTATGTCCTTACCCTCTCTCTTCGTGTGTGTGTGTGTGTGTGTGCGTGCGTGCACACGTATGTACATACACACACGAGAGAGAGCAAGAGAGATGCAAAGCTCCTAACTAGAAAGATTGCATCTATATTGTCATAACAAAGCAAAGGGATCCTTACAAACAAAGGCAGAAGGACAGTAGGGCATTAGAGAGGTAAACGCAACAGGATGTCTCTATGGGAAGGACTGTTACTCTGAAGGAACTTGCTGGGTATGGAAAAGTGCTCTGGGCTGCAGGTCCTTAGAGGCGAGGCTCTCAGCCTCAGCTCCACCGCTGGCCAGCTGTGCAAACTTGGTCAAGTGACCGAACCCCTCTGGGCTTAACACCTCAGCAGTCCCGTAGAGGAGTTGGATACACAGCTTCACAGGTCCTGCCCGGTTCTACAGGTCTGTGAGTCCAAGTGAAAGGACATAAGCCTATACATTCAGTCAGTTTCTGATGGTCTCAGCATCCCTTTCTGCTCTGTACCCATTTGATGTACGAGATTTGTGACAAGGACTGAGTGAAAGGCAAAAAAAATAAAGTGGAAACAATTTGAAAGACCACCTTCACAATAAATACATGTTTGGCTTGAAAATTTTCTTGGAGAACATTCGGTATAAGTTTATACACATACCTCATGCAAATTCTCAGCCTGCCCTCTAACCAGGTCATGATTGGAGAAGGGAGAAAGTACACAAGGTCGGTGTATGTGGTAAATCAGGGATAAACCGTGGATTCTGAGCCAGGAGGGCGCACGAGAGAGAGAAGGAGATGCGAACACAGGCAAGAGTTCCTGACAGCTTCCTCCTGGGGCATCCAGAATTAGATTGGATTGTTCGGGATTTTTTCAGGGCTGCTATTTGTCTGTTTGGGGGTTCTCTACCTTCTCATCTTCCTCCTTCCTACTTCCCCAGTCCTGCTTGGCCTGCCCCCTCCATTCTCCCCGAGAGACAAGTAGTATTTGGGTTTTGAAAAGCAACGTTGAGAACACATTCCCAAAGCAGGTGTCAGTGGGAGTTATCCGAGCAAAATAGCTGGGGGGAGAGCTTGTTCCTCAATTGCACATTCTGAAAGCTGTTATGGGGGGAATATGTTGCATTCGGCAGCTATTAGATAAATGGAAAGATGTTAGATACAGGCTGAAATTTGTCTGAAATGGCTGGGAAAGCAATCCGTGAGCCTTCAGTTGTGCAAATGGTGATTTGGGAGACCAGACCCTGATGTCGGAAGCGCAGCTGGGGAGGAAAGTGCCTCTGGAAAGGCACCTTCTCATCGGAAGGGACCTTGGTGACCGTGGCTCCGGGCACAGTGTGTTGGAGAGCTCATCCTTATTCGGTGTCTGCAGATGAAGCGCTCTGGATTTTCCCTCTTTTTTCATGTGAATTTGCCTGGTGACCACATTCTAAGCCCAGCGACCAAGGGCAGATTAGTAACCTCACTCGGTAGCCAGACCTGCCCAAACCTGTTGCCGTCTTCCTCTTCTGAGCGTCCGTTGTCCTGACTTTCTTCATCCCTCTGGCCTGGAAGTCCAGGCTGTGTGAGCCCAGCCTTGGGGACGGTAGTTTACAGACAGATGGACTCTCTGGGTAGGAACACAGCCAGGGAAGACAGATGCCCCTCTCTGACCTAAACTGCTTGTGCACTTGAGGGCAGCATCTTCCCAAGCCAGAGTCACATCTGCAGATCCGGATGCCCCCATCAGCACCACCCGGACAGGCAGAGACTCCGTGATGGGGTGATGTCTGTGGCAGGCATACGGTGAGTGCCATGGTGACAGGTGCCATGGAAATAAAAAGACCAAATTAGGTGTGGGAGGAACGACAGACAGGTGGAAGATTTCCCAGATCTTGCCTTCTGCGGTCTTCTTTTCCCTCCTGCTTATCGGGCCACAGGCACGGGGCCCACCAGCCTGTCTGGGTGTGAGTTGTCTGCTTCAGGGCGAGGCCATCAGGAGGAGCCACGCGTGTGGATGTGCCAGCCCTGCATGTCACGTCCATGTGCTGGGTGCCTCTCACAGTTCCGCCGTGCTCATTGCCTTCTGTTGTTTTCTCCTCCAGGTATTTGGAAACATAAAGTTGGATGAGGAGAGTCACATCAACCGGCACAACAACTTCCGGAGTTTCTTTGGGTCCCTCATGCTGCTCTTCAGGTGCCTGGACGCGGGACTATTGTAGCCTAGCCCTCCTCTGAGGGGACAGAGCTGGTCTTCTCTTCACTGCCTGTGCCTCTGCACTGCCCTTGCTCCGCTCCTAGCGGGATGGCAGTGGCGTGGGGGCAGCAGAGAGATCATCTCTAACTCAGTAGTGAATTTGCAAATTGCGGCTTCAACTTGTCCTTTGGGATTCTGAGAGGGGGAAGGCGAGGACAGTTTCCTACAGGTCAAATTCCAGTTAAGGCCCGAAACCTTGGATGGCCGGGTGTGTGGGGTCCCTAAAGTCCCATCACGATCAGCAGAGATTCTTCCAAAAACAGGGAAGCAGTGGGTGAGGTGGCAGAACCCGAGAGAGACTCATTGGCATGCTCCATCTCTGCATGGAAAGCATGAGAGCCACGGGTACTAGGCAAAGCCGTTGGGCCTACGGCAAGAGGAAGGGATGGGTGACTTGGGAGAGAAGGCCAAGGAGAGGACAGGACATGCAGACCTGCAACGAATCACCGAAATGTCTTCTGGGCTCAGGAGTGCCACAGGCGAGGCCTGGCAGGAGATAATGCTGTCGTGCCTCGGGGAGAAAGGCTGTGAGCCCGACACCACGGCGCCCTCCGGGCAGAACGAGAACGAACGCTGCGGCACCGATCTGGCCTACGTTTACTTTGTCTCCTTCATCTTCTTCTGCTCCTTCTTGGTGAGTTGCCTTGTGCCCTTAACCCGAAATGTGGCCCAGCCCTTCCCACCCTGATAAACAGTCACAAGATGTTTCCTTCGGTGGATGGTCACACACGCTCCAGCCCACACTGAGAGCCAGGGTTTTCTCAAGAGAACTCCTGGAGGTGACGGTGCTTATCGGACTCCTGGGTGGGGGGCTATCCATGGTTGAAAAGACATTTGCTGCTTCCCCAGGAAGGATGGCTATGGGAAGGGTTGGAGGGTGGGATAGAGGTCAGTGAATAGAACAGTGAACATCATGTCGAATCTACTGTAACCCACAGTAAATCCTTTCTCTTCTGTATCTCGGATGTTTTATAAATAAGGCCAAGAACATCTTCTCTCTCTCTGGAGACCTTTGAACTGTTTGGGAAAAGGTACCTTGAAAATATAAGGTGATAGCATTAATAAGAATAGAGTGGTGACAATCTACAGTATAATGGATGCAATTCTCTTACGTCATGACTAGTGGCCCAGTGCACGAATCCGTGCACAGGTAGGGTTCGGCTGGCTTGCCCCAATGGGAGCCGGGCTGGCCGGGAGGGGGTGGGGGGCGCCACTGGAGGTTGGCCCGCCGGCCCCACCCCTGATTAGGGGGGGGGGGCTGATCAGGGGTGGGGCTAGCTGGGGGGAGGGGCCTCAGAAGATTTGGGGGGGGCCCATCGGGGCCCCGATCCAGCTAGTTGGCTACTGCAGTGCGTGTCATAGCGACCGGTCGTTCTGGTCATTCCAGTTGTTCTGGTTGCTTGACTTTTATATATATAGACTAGAAGCCTGGTGCACAAAATTTGTGCACTCGGGGGAGGCGAGGTGGTCCCTCTGCCCGGCCTGTGCCCTCTCACAGTCCAGGATCCCTTAGGGGATGCCTGACTGCCAGCTTAGCACTGCCTCGGAGGCAGGAATGGTTCCCACCACCACTGCTGTGCTCGCCAGCCTTGAGCCTGGCTACTGGCTGAGTGGCACTCCCCCGTGGGAGTGCACTGACCACCAGGGGGCAGCTCCTGCATTGAGCGTCTGCCGCCTGGTAGTCAGTGCGCATCATAGCGAGCAGGACCAGTCGTTCTGCTGTTTGGTTGATTTGCATATTAGCCTTTTATTATATAGGATGTTTAGTGACAGTGGCCAGCTTGACATGAGAGGATCTAATCGCTTCAGATATTAGTGAACATTGAGTGATATCTGTGGAGCACACCTGCTTACAAAATAGTGAGGGGCCCAAGTGCCCCTTCATTCTTTCATCCAGAAATCTCTGTGCTGCATAATCTGACCAGTAGGGATAAACAGGATGATGATTGAGGTACCCCTGCTAAATCAGTGATGGCCAGTCCTGTGTTAGTGGCCACCCTGACATTCCTTAGCTCAGCTTCGGTGCTCATGCCACTGACTGTACAAGAATCAAAAGCTCAAGCAGTTCCCTGGGCAAGTGGGCAGTTTCATGGCCGGACATCCCAAAGTGAATGAATTGTCTCTCATCCAGCCATTTCTGCCTCTAACGTGATCCTCGGGGGACTTGCCACCTGCCCATCGCTCAGGTGTGGGGAAGTGGCTTGCAGCTAGACCGAGGGGGACTGGGAGGGGATGGACAGAGAGTGAACTAACTGCCATGTTAGTAGCCCACATTGAGTTCTGGGCTTTGCTGCTACTGTAGCTTCTGTGGGACAGGAGGGAAAAGGACTTGATAATAAGAAAGTTATTTAGTGAGCAGATGCATGTGTTTCAGTAAACTTCCTGCAGGAGATTTTAAAAAGAAAAACAAAACAGTATCCCATTTAGAAATATGGAAGTGGAACGTCTAATGAAAATAACTGAAAAGCAATTTTGAATGATATTGGAGTTTTAAGTGGATTCATTCACATATTCAGCACATTTGTACTGAGTGGTCATTAAAAGGCGAGGCACTGGCTGTACCAGAGCCGAAAACTAAAGCAATGCCCTGGAAAGGTGGGCAGTTTCCTGGGTGGAGTAGAGCTCGGTGAATAGAGCAGTGAACTTCATGTTGAATCTGTTGTAACCCCCGGTAAATCCTTTCTCTTCTGTGCCTCCAGTGTTTTATAAGTTGATTCATTCACATGGTCAGCACGTTTGTACTGAGTGTTATTAAAAGGCTAGGCACTGGGGTAAAGCTATTATGGTCCCCCCAACCCCTGCTGTCGAAGGCTGAAAGGCATACAGGGGTCTCAGCGCTTAGATGGGGTGAAATGTGGCGTATAGAAGGACATGTAGACATCACAGTTTTATCCTACATGGTGTAAATGTTTAATAATAAATATTTAAAAGAAACCAGGGATATAACTGGAAAATTCATTAGCGACTATAAAGGTACTGGTAGAATTTTGAGATGGAGGGTGCTGCATAATTCACGCTACTGTTATTTTTAAATTCACGCTGTATTCAGTCTGAGAGGATCCGCTTTCAAATCTCAGCCCCCCAGGAGAGTGACTTTGTGACCTTGGGCGAGTCGCACAGCTTCTCAGCCCCACGCAGCCACCCGGAGGGATGTACGGGTGGGCGGGATGTGCCAGGCCGTGCGCTTAGAGCCAAGGATGCCAGTGTGTGTGGGAAGCGCTGGGTCCTGGAAGGGCTGATACGATGAAAGCTGCCACATGGAAACGTAGGGCAAGCATTAAAACAGAGAATAGGTGTGAATGTGCACACCATTATACAAGACTATAGGCAAACGTAAAGCAATAATAAATACCTAAGAGTGTTTGTTACCATGAATAATAGATACCAAGAAAGGAGTGTAAAAGATGTGTGGATACGTGGAAAACCCTCTGTAACCCACGCAGCCATTGCATATATATTCACTGTGGCTCCAGTCTCAGAGGCAGACAGAGAGGCCGTGCTAGGATCAGGCGCAGCTGCATGAGATAACTGAGTAACAGTGGCTTAACCCAGAGGGATGTTTCTTTCCCTTGAGCACCAGCCAAGTCTGGAGGGAGGCAGTGCGGGCTCATGATGGTGGCTCAACAGTGGTTAGCACTCTGGACTTTCTGGTCTTTTACCTCCAGGGCTGTCCTTCATCCTCTTGAGGCTAAACCTTCAGTCATCACCTAGTACATTCTAGGGAGAGGGAGGGAAGAAGACTGGTTAGTAGGATGGGCCAGCAGTCTCTCTGTGTGTTGCAGAGAAGACTCTAACAGGTCCCTCCTGTAGACTACTTCCTTATCCTGTTACCCCTCCTGCATAACTGGCTCTTCCATGCACCTACCCAGCCGCTTAACCTGGGAATCAGCAACAGAGACTTGTATTCCCTCACCCTCACAGCCCACTGGTCTCAGGCAGGACTCTCTCTTGCAAGTGACTCTGACTGAGCCTGGCTACATGGGCAGAAGCAGAAAGGAATTTTATAGGCATGTGGCAATGAGGAGTCCTGGGGCAGGGGGCTTAGGCCAGCTTGATCTGGGGCTCCAAAGGCATCACCAGGGTCAGTTTCTTTTTCTATTTATTGAGCTTTCTCTTTTTTTTTCTATTTTATTTTATTTTTTCATCACAATTTATTCCCTCTCTGCCCTCTCCCAGCCTCACCATCCATTTACCCCTGCATCACCACTCTGTTGTCCATATCCATGAGTTTATTCTTTTTTGTTCAATCCCTTCACCATCACCCAACAGCCCCTTCCCCACCAGAGCTGTCTTCCTGCACTCTCTGAGTCTGTCTATCTATTGCTTGGTAGTTCAGTTTGTTCACTAAGTTCTACATATGAGTGAAATCGTAAGTATTTGTCTTTCTCTGACTGGCCTATTTCACTTAGCGCAATGCTGTTTCACTTACCCATGCTGTCGCCGAGGGTAAATGTTCTTCCTTTTTACAGCTGAGCAGTATTCCACTGTGTGTGTAGCGTAGCTCACTCACTCCAGGCTCTTCCATGGGAGTTCTTTCCTCAAACAGCCCAGCCTGGGGCTCCGAGACCACAGCAGCAGTCCCTGCATGTTCAAGACCAACAGGGAAGGACAAGTGTTTTCCCTGAAGGTTCATTACCCTTTCACTGGCCTTGACTGGACCACCAGTCACCATGGCCCAGAGGAATGGGATCCAATGACTGGCTAAGGCTGGATCCCAAGGGGAGTGCCCCCTGAACCAGATGAAGTAGGAATAGGCAAGGGGTGGGTCCCCAAAAGAGCAGACGTACAGTCAACGGGTCCTAGGCAGCCAAGAATCAACAAAACAAGTGCTGTTCACTGTGACCATCTAGTCCTGTCCCTTCCCCTTCCTTGAACTGTCCAGTTTAGGCTGCTGTCCTGCCACTGGCTGGGTTCAGGGATGGCTACCCCTCAACACTGCTCCTGAGGGTCCTCTCTGCACACAGCTGTCCCCTGGTCTCTCTCCTAGTTTGCCCCCCTTCAGTAATTCCTGTTGCCTGCTGCCTAATCTAGACCAGGGGTAGGCATATGGCAGCCCATGGGCCAAACCCGGTTTACCACCTGCATTTGTAAAACACAATAGCTTTTTCATTCTTAAATGGTAGAGAAAAATAATCAAAGATGAATAATATTTCATAGCATGAAAATTATATGAAATTCAAATTCTGTTACCACTGTCACCTGCAGATGCTGCTTTCCTAGCTCTTGGGAAAAATCTGTAACATTTGTATATTTGCAATATGTCGCAGTTTTGACTAAATACTAAGTCTTTAAGAATACTCAAGTGACAACCTCTAGTGAGTGTCCGCGTGCTTTAAGCAGTGTGTTAGGCATGGGACTAGATCCCCGGGGTAAAATAGCAACTTTCTTACCCCCACCCCCTGCACCTGGGTGTCTGTTTGGAATACAGGGGGTGGACAATTAAAACTGTTGAGCAAGCAAGTAGGAGAACAGGGTCTTGGAAGCCACTCAAGAGCCAAGAATAGCTTCAAGTCGGCACGCAGTAAGCCATGGTGTGGACTCTGAGAGGTCTCACCAGTTCTGTTGACTTGTTTGGTGGAGCAAGGGTGGGGGAGGGGCTAGAAGGGAGAGTGGGCGTCAGGCCTTGGCTTTCTCCAGCCTTGGAGCATGTTGTCGCTGCTGCTCCCTCACTGCTACAATAACAGTTAAATAAATGGAACAGATAACAATGCTTTGCAAATAGAAAACTGAAATAATGCTGTTTGCACAACGAAATGTGTGGCACAGATAACACAAATGCAAAGCATTTAGCAGGATCAACAGGCTTTGGTCGGGGCCTTCAGCCTTACAAACATTGGAATTGTCGATTGGCCTTGAAGCCTGTTTTTCTGCTTTGGGGTTCCCCTAACTTTTCTTCCCTCCCCTCGTGCCCTCCAGATGCTCAACCTGTTCGTGGCCGTCATCATGGACAACTTTGAGTACCTGACTCGGGACTCGTCCATCCTGGGGCCTCACCACTTGGATGAGTTTGTCCGCGTCTGGGCAGAATACGACAGAGCTGCATGGTGAGTAGGCCACTCGGCCATCCCACTGGGGCCCGTATGAGGGGCCGCCAAGTTCTCAAGGAAGAGGTTGGCATTAGAGCCATCCAAATGCTTGCCTGTTACAGGCGGAGAGGGCACTCCTCTGGCTGTGGCCCGTTGGAGAGGCCGGTTCCTCAGCGTGGCTCTGGTATCAGACGTAGCTTTCTCTGTCCCTTCCCTCTCTCTCCTTTGGTGACAGGCTGCCCCTTTCTTTGCCAATCTCATCACGCTGTCCGTACCTCAAAGTGTTTGGGTTCAATCCCCAGAGGAGCTTCTTTTCCTGCCTAATGGTTGAGTCATCACCGGGGCTGACCAGGGTTTTCTGGGCCAATCAGACGTCTGGCCACCACGGTCAGTGACCGGAGTGATTCATGCCTCTCATCCCTCTCAAAAGGTCCAGTGTGAGAAAATGGAAGGTATACACAAAAGCAAGCAGGTTGCCCTTCCGACTGATCCCTTGTGGATTCTATTGCATGAAACTGAATTAAATGTCAGGAGTTTGTGGGGATACCTCCCATTCTCTTTCACTGTCCAGTAGTTCTTCGGCGATGTCATGCCCTCTGGCTTTACAGCAGGGTTGGCGACGCCCCCCCCCCCCCCCCCCCCCCACGCTTACGCTGAAGCACTTCTATGGGGCCCAATGCCGGTTTCCCAGCCAGGCTCATTTGTTTGTGGGTTGCCCAAGGCTGCTGTCGCACTACAAGGCAGGCTTGAGTGGTTATGACAGAGATGGTATAGCCCTCAAATTCAATACTATTTCCTATGTGAGCCTTTACAGAAAAGGTTTGCCCACCCCTGCTTTAGAGTTCAAGGGCAATCTTTAGGCCCTCGTGGCTGAAGACGGGTGAGAGTCCTGTGAGTGCTCACTCCCCAGGCTCTTTCCTGTCCCATGTCATCGTCGCTTTGGGGACTTAATCTCACCAGTCTATCCTTTCTGGGCCCCCTCTGAAAATACTACAAGGAATGTCATCCTTCGCAGGAACGGGCCATGTCGCTTCCACCTGGAACCCCTTCCCCATCTGAGACTCTTCCCCAAATCTGTCCTTCCCCGGGCTGTTGAACTTGGGCCACTGTGTTACAGGTTAGAACTCTGAATCAGAAGTCTTCTTCCCCTCAGCAGTTAGTAGTGACTTCGGGCACAGCGTTCTCTCAGTCCATTCCTGTTCCAATGGCTGAGCGGTGGCTTTTACCTTCTGTGCTTACTTTCTAGTAGTCGGCTGATTAGAAAGCCCAGGGCAGGGTGTCGGAGGGGAATGCAGCCAGGCCTGCATCTGTCAGCTCCGTGGCCTTGGACAAGGCCCTTACCCACTCTGAGCATCCTCCCCTGTAAAATGGTGATAACCATACCATCCTTGAAGGCTGGTTGTGCGTAACTGTTACTATCATTGGCAATGACGATGCAGGAAAGTGACTGGAAAGTGTGGACTATCGATCTGTAAAGCATGGATGGCCATCGGATTGGGAGCCTGAGCCACTAGCAAAGGCGGTCACTGCCCTCCTGGCCTCCCTCGGCCGGCCTTGGCTCGCAGAAACCCCAGCTCCCCGTGGATTCACGTGATCTCACGACCCAGATGCCATAGACCTGTCCCCTCCCCACTCATTCCAGCTGCTGGGAAGAAACAATGCCATGAGGACTGCTCCTGAGACTTAGATGCATGAGCCGTGAGAGAGCAAACAGGAAAAAGAAAACCTCTTCTGTCTGCTTTGAGTCTCATGGCATTGATGTGTTCTGGTTAGAGTTTCCTTGGCCTTGTCTCTGAGGTGGGGGTGGAGGGACTGACAAAGACACAGTGAGTCAGTGTCTTCAAAGAGAAGGCTGCTATGGGTTCCAGAGACCATCAGCCTCTCGATAGCAGAACCAACCATCCACAGTAAGAAAACCAGACGGACAGATTAACCTCCTCTCAAGGACTGGCGAGCTGCTCTTTGGAAGAGGAGGATGAATCAACACCAAAATCAAGACCTGGCAGAAAGAGCGGAGCTGGGCAAAGGCCCGGTCTCCACGGGGCTGCTGGGAGGCCTGGCGCTCGGAGGCGGAGCCGCTGATCACACCAGGATGTGTCCAGACCCCTGGCTGTTGCTTTCTTGTCCTGGCCTACGGACCAGATGCTTTAGCCACTGAAAACGAATCAACTGTTGATTCTGTGCTTTTTACAGGAAGCATAACTCTGCAGCAGGCTCGTGGGGACGGGGGTTGGTAAGACAGGTCTCATAGTTCCTGGAATTCTGACGGGATCAGACCGAGCTGCCTGTGAGCTGGGCAGTGGCGTGGAGCAGGGGACAGGGCTGTTGTCTGAGCACCGCTCTGGGCAGGCTCCCCGAGGGGCGGGGGGAGGGGAGGGAGCTTGCCCAGCTCAAGACAAATCTGCCAGAGAGAGCAGCACAGCCCTTTGCAGCGTCCCTCGTGCCAACTGTGCTCCTCGCTAATTAGCTAATGGGCAATGTGTGTCTCGCAGAAAGACGCGGACTTCCTCGCCGCCCGACACGTGGGCCTGAGGAGCTGGCTCTTGGCCGTGACTGTGAAAAACAAACAGTTCTGACGTCCACTTCACGGCAGCCGCGCTTGACAGCGGTCAGAGCAGTGGTGAGGCGGCAGGCTGTGCTCCTCCAGGCCTCGCTCGGGCCAGGGCCCATTTCCTGCATCTGGCCAGGTGTGGGCCGCATGGATAGGTATCCCGGGGTGCCCTTGGCCAGGAGGCAGTCCCGTTGGGCACTGGTCGGGCTCGATTGCCCTGGGAAATTGGGGGCAGTGCAGGTTGCAAGGCGATGCCTCTCTGGTGCCCACCGTGCTGTCTCCTGGCCCGGCTGTGCCCGGCCCGGAAAGGAGAGCTGCTCTTCCTCTTCCGGCCATGCCCTCCGTGGCTAAGCTGTCTTTTCTTTCGCGCCTTCTCTGAGTGCCCTATTAACCCACTTCTGCTTCCTTTTCAGTGGCAGGATCCCGTATAAGGATATGTACAAATTAGTGCGGGTCATCTCGCCGCCTCTGGGCCTGGGAGAGAACTGCCCCTACAGGGTGGCTTGCAAGGTTTGCCTCCCAGTCCCCAGCCACGCCTGACGATGGGGTGCCACCTGGACCCCCCTCTCTGTTACGCTCCACCCCCACCCACCACCACGCCACCTCAGGGAACCTTCATGTTGCTTTCCTTTGAGTTTAAAGAGGTCCAACCCTCCCAGAACCAGCAGCTGTTACATTGGGGGAAAGGGGCACGGTTGGAGGGGAGGGGAAGCAGGAAAAGGAAGAGCTGAGGGATTAATAACGAAGGCCGTTTTGACCTCCCACTTTCTTCTTCACCTCCATGCACTCATTGGTGGGTGGACACACACACTCTTCCCGCTCCCCTGTAATCTGCACATTTAACCAGAGAATGCAAACCTTTTTTAAAAAGCAGAGAGTTCTGGGCTCCCCTCACTGGAGACAAACACGCCTCCTTTTAGCAACGTAGCATCATGGTCCCATATATAATGTCCCCAGGTGTGATTCCAGTCACCCTACCTCTGCCCGCCTTCTGGCGCCTGGACAGTTATAAAAGCTGTAGGAAGGAGAGGAGGTGAGAAACAATGAATTAGGGCAAGAGGTGAGAGGAGGTCAACAGGGATCGCTTTGGGGGCGTGTGGAAGAATTCAGTAGCTCAGAAGGGCCAGGAAGGTCACAATAGAGGGCAGTGGGCTCCTGAGCACAGGTCCTGCCATAGGGTCCTGCCATATACTCTCGAGGGGCAGGGGTTGGGGGGTCTTTTGTTTGTGAAGCCAAGGACATACATGTTCAGGGGCGTCTAGGACCTCCCTCTGCCAGACCCTGGGAGCTCACATCCCAGTGGCTCTGCCCAGCTGCACCCAAGGCCTAGCCCGCTAGATAAGGAAGCCTGGCTGGGTGCGGAGGGGAGCGGGGCTCCCTGGGGCACAGCACAGCCCAGAGGGGAGGCTGGAAGAGGACATAGGCCCAGGAAGGTGAGGCGACGGGCAGGAGCTGGCTGGGGATGGTGACACAGTTTTTCCCGTACTCGGGAGGCCCAACAGCTGCCTCTGCTGAGACTCTTTAAACTTGACCCTGGTGCCACCTGCTGCCGCATGACGGGAGAGTGGGAGGGCAGCATGGCATGCAGGTGCTCTTCCTCCACCTGGCTTTGTCCTTCTGCCTCCAGCGTGCCATGGCCCTGGACATGCTGGCGAGACAAGGGCACTCCCCACACAGAGCCAGGTGGAAGCAACGGCGACCCCGGCAGCAGCCACAGCCCACCACTGCCACAGCCACCACTGCACCCCCGGCCAGCAGCCACAGCCCACCACTGCCAGCAGCCACAGCCCACCACTGCCACAGCCTCTGCTGCACCCCCGGCACAGAGTGATACACGGCGCCCCGCCTGTGGGTTCGGAGCAAGAGAGAAGGCCGGGAAACTCTGACCCACGGCCGGAGCACCGTCTATCCGGTTTATACCACGCGCACACAGCCCTGGGAATGGAGACAGGCTTGTGTTGTACGGGACGAAGGCGTGGCCAGGGGAGTAGGGTGATGCTAGGCCAGGAGGAGCGGACAGGCGAGTCCCGTGGTGGTGCCACTAGCGTTCCCGGGTCTGTGTGGGGCTGATATAAACCCGCACCAGGATGGAGTCACCTGTACGATTTGCCTTGATTAACAGGTTTCCTATTCTTTTCCTGTTTGTCCGTTCCGTTTTGTTTTCCTCTCGTGTTCCGTATGATCTGTCTGTCTATGTTGGCTCTTCTGGGAATGCCTGTTCTCCTCTCCCCCCCACCCCACCCCCCCGTCTGCATCCTTCCCCCACTTCCTTTCCCTGCCACCTGCCGCCCCTCCCTGAGCAGTGGCCGCATCCATTACACTGAGATGTATGAAATGCTGACTCTCATGTCACCACCGCTAGGCCTCGGCAAGAGATGCCCCTCCAAAGTGGCCTATAAGGTAGACCACCCCTTCCTTTGTTCTGGGCTAGCGACCTGCAGACAATGGGGTCCAGCTGTGGGGAGGCCAGGCCGTGGGGAGGCAGCGGGGCTCGGGAGGCGGGGGAGGGAGAAAGGTGAGACGGAAGGGTCAGGAAGGTCCACGGAAGGATGCCGTCCCGAAATGACACAGCGGGTGGTTTGCAGTGCTGTTCACCGTGGGCTTTGTTCCGTGTCATCTGTGTTTAACGACAAGTGCGTGGCTTCCTGTGAGTGGCTTCCTACGAGGGGAGCGTTGAGTAGTGTGTTTGCTTTTAAGAGGAGGCAGAGTGGTGGCCTACAGGACACCTACCCACACAGCTGTCCGAGCAGATAGAAAAGGAGCACCTTCCATCAGAGAAGCTTTTCTAAGGAAATAGTATAGAAATGGCTCTCAACATGGTTCAAAGAGAAATGTTGCAGGAGAGAGGAAAACTTTTAACCAAGTTCTTCCTCCCTGATGTGGAAAGGGGCTGCGGCCTGCTTCCTTCTAGGTCACATGAAGGAGGCACCTGCCTACCCCGGGACCCCCCGCACTCCCCCCCGACACGGGATGCCGCTCCCTTTGCCCACCAGCCCCCGCCGCCCACTTCTCTGGGCGACACAATGGGATGGGGGACCGAGGGCTGAGTTGCCTTCAGGATTAGATTTCCCTTCTGGGCATGACTGAGTTTGGGGGCCTGCAGTTGTGGGGGGATCCCCCCTGGTTTGCATAGAGCAGCATTTTCCATTGGGAATCACCTGCCCTTCTGGAACTCATAGCTTTGAGGCCTGAGTTTTTTTCCTCCACAATTAGGAATAGTTACTACTAATTCCCCTTAGGTATTGAGACTGACCCGGAACGCTGAGCCCTTTCATGCGCCTGGGGCTCCACAGCAATGTTGCCACTTTTCTAGATGCTTAAGGAAGCGGAGAGAGATGAAACTCGGATTCAAACAAGAAACTGGCCTGAGCCTCTGAGACACCATGGAATCACATTACATGAAATGTCCCCATGGAGTCTTAGAGGCCCCGCCTTGGGAAGAGACACATCCCTCCCTGCTAGGCTGGTGGACCTCCTCCTGCTTCTCCAAGTGGTAGTGGCCCAGAGAGGATGTCATTGGAACGGAGCCCTTAGGGACCCTCATCCACCCCAGCACATGGCTCCTCGTGCACAGCTGAGGGGCTGGCATCCTTCTAGCTCATGATGGCCAAATTCCAAAATGCCAGATGGCAGAATGTGGCCCTGAGTTCTTCGAAGTTTGGGGATGAAGCTTAGTAAGAGAAGGCGTATTGGGATTGGAGGAAACATTGAAAGAATTCCTAAAGCAAGATACTCTCTGGAAAGTGGATTTGGCCATTTCAGTGCGATCCCTTCCTTTGGGCAAGGGGAACACGGCCTGCCCACTCTGCTCCTGCCTTGTTCACCCTCCTCTCATGCTCTCCCTGCTGCGCCCCACCCCTCTCGCCTGACCGTGTTTGTCTCTGCCCTTTCCCATCCTGCTCCACCTCATCCATTGGATAAGCTGGACTTCTGCATGTTGAGTCATGTGCTGGCAAATTCCATCTCTTAAAGACTCAAAAAGGGGGCATCAGGATGTCTCTTCAAGTCAGATAAGCAAACAAAATCTCCCCCTCACTGTCTTTCCGTCTGAGCTTTGGGAGTGTTCACAGGACACGCGGAAATACAGAGCAACCTTGACAGGGAATGGAGCCCCTTCCCAGAGCTGACTCCGTTCCCTGAGCCTAGAAATCACTTCCCGTCCCTATGGAAGACATTCTTAGGACTGTGAGAGTCCTACAGAATGACCAGTCCCCTCCCCTTGGATTTTGGCATCATTTGCGGGGGGGGAGGGGGGGGTGTTGGGCACAAAACAGCAGCAATGAGCCTCCAATGCGAAGTAGGGAGAGTAGGGTCGGGAGAGGAGGGATCCTTGCCCTTCTTTTTTGTCTCTGCATTTGACCTCTGCACTTGTCTTCCCCTCTCACCAAGGTTTCTTTTGATATGTCTTCCCCCTGCTGTTTCTCTCTCTCACCCACAGAGGTTGGTCCTGATGAATATGCCCGTGGCTGAGGACATGACAGTGCACTTCACCTCCACCCTGATGGCTCTCATCCGGACTGCTCTGGACATCAAGATCGCCAAAGGTGAGCCCAGCGAGGAAGCAGCCATTCTGGAGGGGCTCATGCAGAGATGTCTGAACTGTCCCCCCTCCAACAATGCAGAGGCCGGGAAATCCAGTGCTGGGGTCCTAGTGTCCACCTGAGGTTCAATAACTACAACGTTGCCCGCTGCCTCCTGGCAAAATGAGCGGTTGCTCATCGCTAAGGCTCCTTTCAGCTTTAACAGTATGTGAGTCTCAGTGTCTGGCACATAGTAAGCATTTTAGACGTACGTGTTTATTCAACAAATGAGCTTTAATTGAGGCCTTTTTTTCTTATGTGGCACCTTTAATGCCTTGGAAGGCTTCCATGGAGGGTGCTATCATGACAGGCCTTGCTTCCTCTGATTTTTAACTCAGTGACTTAAAAGAAAAGGTTTACTGCTTCCCAGTGGGCCTCCAGCTCTCCTGCTCTTGCCTGATCCAAATCCTGTTTAAAACCAGGTCACTCCGACCAGAGTCGCTGGAAGAATTGATGTCCCTGTAATGAGGCAGGAGAGGTCGCCGCGTGGCTCTTTTCATTTCCCCTCTGATACACAGAGCACCCGGGAGGCTGCTCCAGTGAGTGAGGAAGCTGACCGTGGTCTCGGGGCCTCAGACCTCTGGGGCAGGATGTCCCTGAGTTACTGAGAATGGGAGTCCCATTGTGTTCTGCTGCTTCAGCAGTAACACCAGCATTGCAAGATCCACTGCCACTAAGAGCCGGGATGTCCCCAGAGAATACACAGTGCCATGCCGGTGCAGCTCCACTCTCTCCTTCTGTCTCTGCGCTCTTTATTCATAGTTTATCTTATTCTGTCAGGTGGTGCTGACAGGCAGCAGCTAGACTCGGAGCTACAGAAAGAGACCCTGGCCATCTGGCCTCACCTGTCCCAGAAGATGCTAGATCTGCTTGTGCCCATGCCCAAAGGTATGGCATCTCCCCTGGGCACCCTAGTCCCAGCATGCCAAGGCCTTATCTTTGAGGGGAACACAGAGTGATCGAAGGGATAAGGGAAACGTGTTCTTTTATCCTTAGGAAACAAAAAGCCCTCACTTCTTAAGTCCCCTTTGTCATTATTAATTGAAAACATTTTCTCAAATGGGGTCACTGTGGTTTCGGGTGAAAGTTTTTGGTGTGTAGCTCTCTCCTTCCCATAATACTATGCATCCAGCCCTCATGCCGTTGGGAAAAGGGTGCTATTGGAGATGGAAATCTAGACCAGCGGCGGTGATGCTTACTAATGTCTCTCCCTCCTTGGACGGCTGTGGAAGCTCCCTGAGAAGACATGTGGGGAACTGCTGACTGCATGCCGAGTGCCCGGCGCATACCTGCTTCAGAGGGTGGAGAACAAAGCTTGAGGCGTCCTCCCTCTCCCCCATCTGCCTCCTCTTTGGTCCTCCCATGCCACATTTGTGTTTTTCAGCCTCTGACCTGACTGTGGGCAAAATCTATGCAGCAATGATGATCATGGACTACTATAAGCAGAGTAAGGTGAAGAAGCAGAGGCAGCAGCTGGAGGAACAGGTGAAGGGCAACGATAGTAGGGTGGGTGGGTCATGCGTCACATGAGGGCTCCTGAGAGACAGACCTGTGTATCCCTAGGGTTCAGGGTCCAGGAGCTTTCTAGGGTCGGGGGATTAGAAATCCAGTGAGTCAAAGGTTAAAATAGTCAATTAAGATATCAGCCACGTTCCTATTTTATCCAAGTATATCACATTTTCTGCCATAATCATTTGAGTTCCTTGCTTCTTCTCCAGAAAAATGCACCCATGTTCCAGCGCATGGAGCCCTCGTCTCTGCCGCAGGAGATCATCGCCAATGCCAAAGCTCTGCCTTACCTCCAGCAGGACCCCGCTCCAGGCCTGTGAGTAAAGCCAGAGGGCACGGCTCTCCTGTTTGTGTCTGTCACTCGTGCCAGTATGCAGGCCCAGGAATGTGGAAGGAATAATGCTAACTCTGAGCTGAATGGGCCTTTCTCTGAGGTTGAAAAGACGGGAAGAGAAGAGCAGGTTAGTACTGGGGCCGCACAAGGGCAGGAACGGTATATGTTAGTATATTCAGAGAGGTTAAATAAGTGGCCCAACGCCATATGGCTACGCCGAAGCCGGTTTGGCTCAGTGGATAGAGCGTCGGCCTGTGGACTAAAAGGTCCCAGGTTCGATTCCGGTCAAGGGCATGTACCTGGGTTGTGGGCGCGTCTCCGGTGGGGAGTGTGCAGGAGGCGGCTGATCGGTGTTTCTCTCTCATCGATGTTTCTAACTCTCTATCCCTCTCCCTTCCTCTCTGTAAAAAATCAATTAAAAAAAAAAAAAAGTGGCCCAACGCCATATGGCTAGTAGAAGGCTAAATAGGAATTAAGTCATTTACTTCTAACTCTAGAATCTTCCCACTACACTATATGCGAAATAAACAAAAAGAAGCTTAGGTCAGGCAAAAAAAAAAAATTCTTTATTTTCTGTATTGGCAATGGAGACAAAACTCAATTAAGGAATCTGCCAGTTCTTTTGAGTTGTAAACCTTAGCGCCAATTTGGTCATACACATCTTATGGGAACATTATCTTTCTAGCAAGCATGTACTAAAGTAGCAAAGGGCATGAAGTGTAAATGAACTTTCGTGATTGGATTTACTCCAGTCCTGCTTCTTAAGAAATCCATAATCACCTCTGTCAGAATGCCATTTAGAACCTCTCACGCCGTTAATTTCTTTCTGCCTGTGGTATTGGGGACCTGGTTTTGAAAAGCATGATTTTCAGAGGTCACAACTCAACGCATTTGGAAGAAAAGGCCCAGATTCTGACCAGGGCCATGAATCGTTTTAGCAAACATTTGATGTGATGAGGTAGCAGAGTGTGGAGTCTCCTGTCCACAGAAAACAAGCAGATGTTGCTCTTTGATCTGTGCAGGAGGAGGCAAGATGGCAGAGTGAGACCACCTCATTGGAAGGATTTAGTGTTTTCCAAGGGTTCTTGGCTTAGAAACGGAGGGGACCCTCCCACACACAATTCAGTCTGCCTTATCCACACCAATTCACTGTACAAATTACCTCCCATCATAGGATCACTCTGTCTTCTCTTCCTCATTGATTTAACCAATATTTATGTGACTCCAAAGCTGGCTTAGGCACTGGGGATGTGGCAGTCAATATGATCACAGTCCCTGTGGAGACAGATCCTGAGAAAGAAATGAAAGATAACGGTTAAAATGCAGAAGGCAAGTTATTGTCATGCTGTGCAAATAAAGGAGGCGGCTGCCTACTTTGAGGGTGGAGGCGGCTTCCCTGAGAAGCAATAGGTAAGTGAGACTCGAAGGCCAGCTCTTCAAGAGAGGAGAGGCGAGATGTGGTCAATTTAAAGAATGCAATCTGTTAGGTGGAGCACAGTTCATGGAGGTGGCAGGTTTTGAGCTTGGAGAGCGACAAGGGCCAGGACGTAGGAGCCACACAAGCAGGACCCAGAAGTTCATTTTCATCCAAGGATAATGCCTCCGAGTGACATGATCCGATTTGCACTTTACAAAGATCCTTCGTGGTTCCAGCATGGATTCAGGGGATTGGAGGAGAGCAGTTCAAGAGATAGGACACCACTTAGTAAGTGACTGCAAAGGTGTAAATTAGTAATGACTGTGGAGAGAAGGTCAGACTTGAGAGGTAATGGAGGCCTCGGTGATTGCTGTGCTCTGTGGAGGAAGAAGAGGGAGGAATCAAGGATGGCCCCCGGGTTCTGGTGGATGTTGGTACATTTCCTGAGATGGGGACACTGGGGGAGCAGCCGGCTGCTTCCTCGGGACCATCTGTGTTTCTAGGGCTTTGCCTTGTTCAAGTAGAGACTGCTCAGAGGATACAGCAGTGACTCTGACAGACAGGGCTGCTCCCTCATTAGGCATGCATCTGGTGGAAAACCAGACTTATTGGAAAGAAAAAACTGTTTTCAGTGATTAATCACAGTTCTGGGAAGTGATAGGAAGAAACAAATGCAGTGTGAGCTGAGTGCATGTGAGAGGGAGATCTGACCAGTTACGTGGGAGAGAGAACATTTTTCCTTACGGGGGTGACTTTTGATAAGCATTTTGAAGGATGCATTAAAAATACCAGGGAAAGGTTTTTCAGGGGGCAGCCTGTATTCAGGCCTTGTAGCAGAAAGAAGCCTGCCACAGTCGATGTACGAAGTCCTGTGTGTCTGGAATTCAGGGAGCAAGGGCTAAAGTGTGTAAGCAAAGGCTTTGAGGTAAGGACCAGATCATGAGAGAGGCCATGTTCAGGATTCTGGACTCGATCCTAATGATGAGAAGCAGACAATGCTTTTGAAGTAGAAGGTCAAAGTATTCAATTCTGAGGTCGTTCAGTGATTCCAAAGGTCCTCTCTACCTATTGGGGATTCTCTCTATGGGTAAATTATTTATTTTCTATAGGGCAAAGGGGGGACCTATTTCTTATAACAGCAGTGCTCACCTTGTTCCCAGCGGTTCTCAGGAGAATACGATGGACATTAAGTCATTGAATAGCAGATGCTCTGTAGCAGTTGTGAAAATGCTGCTCTTCATCCCTTATCCTGTGATCCCAGTAAGTCGCACCTATAGAATATTTTGAAGCAACTGGCAGCCCTTGCTCAGGGCTCGGAGCCATTAACAATAGACACAATTACGAGAGGACGGTCTTCATCTCTCTCTCCTAGCTGCCCAGTCACTGACCGCTCGCTGTCCCTCCTCCCAGGATCAGGAAGTTCACTCTTGAGCAGGTCAAAGGGTATCTATGGCAGCAGCAGCCAAAATTTTAGGACAATTGACTGACTCTCCTGACCCAGCCCCGTGGATCACATTGGCTAATAGTATCTATCTACAGGGACCAAACATGGTTTAGTAACAGGCAGCTTTCCATACCCTTCACTCAGAGCCTCTAAGTACTTGGCTGACTTTGTCATGTTCTCTCACATCACCATTTATGCGTTCTTCCACAAAGCCATCAACCCTGGGAAGGTCACCTCCTCCCCACCCTCTGGAATCCTTCCACCGAGCTCAGGAACCAACAGACACAGTGTCTGGCACTGAATTGTTTGGTTTGGCCAGGGATGTTGGCACAATAGAGCCATGTTCTTACTGAGCGTGGAGGAATTTTTTTAAAAGACCACGACTGCTTAATATTTAAACAGACTGTTCACTGTTTAAAGTATGGCATTTTTCCGCCTAATGGAGAAACCGAGCCGAAACCGGTTTACAATCCAGCATTGGTCTTCCATATGGCTGAGTGTGACAAATGATGTCATTCATCACAGATATGTGAGTCACCAGCCGAGTGAGGAAGGGTTCCAAATGCAGGTTGAAAACAGTGCTTTCTCTTTTCCAGTGTGTGTTTGTAGTTTGTTTTTTTTTAAGAGTTTCTATTCTAGGGCCAGGCATCTCTAAGCTAAAAGCCCACCAAGAGTATTGGTAAAGGGTGTTGCCCTGGCTGGGACTTGGTAGTGGCGGCGATGGCATGTCTGTTTCTCGCTCACGCACTCATTACCTCTGAACGTGGCATTGCTTTTCAGGAGTGGCCGAAGTGGGTACCCTTCGATGAGTCCGCTCTCCCCCCAGGAAATATTCCAGCTGGCATGTATGGACTCAGCCGATGACGGACAGTTCCAGGAGGAGCAGGCTCTGGTGAGTGAATGAGTCACAAGACTTCCAAACAGTTCCCTCGTTTGCTGATCCCTCCCACTCTTTTTCAAATTTGATTTCATAGCCATAATCCACCAGGAAAGCCCTTTCTGTTCTCTCAACCAAGGACCCTGGGAATTTCCTGCTGTCTCCCAGGAAACATGGAGACATGTTTTATGGAGGAATTTCTCATGTTCTCTGACAAATGCTTCCTCCCTAGGTTTTACCATCTCAAGGGCCCCTTATCTGCTGGAGGAGTTTATGTTGCTTCAGGCCAAGCCCTATTCATTAATGCCTTGGAGCATCATAAAATCTTATCTTTGATAAGGAGTTTTAGGAGAAATCGTCATAGAATGAGTGGCACCCACTGGGCAGCTTAGCATAGTCAGGGATGCCCCACTTCCTGGAGAATTCAGGGTAGCCTGTCCAAGAGGGACAGTGTCCACCAGGAGATGCGATAACCTCTTGCCTCTACAGGTTCAGACCATTTTAGAGGGTCAAATACATTCTGAGAGGTCCCTAAAGTCACTTTCCTGAGCCCAAAGTTTTTCATTAGCATAAATGGTGAAATTCCCAAGAAGCCTACTGAGTCCAAGCTAAGCTTGAAGAAGAGAGGACAGGTTAAACTTCAGCTTTGATATTCGCAAACCCTAAACTGCTATTCCCAAAGATAACAGACTTGACTTACCATTATTCTTAGCTCAGCAGCATGAAATTCCCGCCGAGATTAGAATTACAGCTCAAGTGGTTATTGCCTGGAGAGAAAAAGACAAAACCCAACATTTGCAAAAGTCCAGGTAGAAAGCTTGTACTGAGTTCTATGCCACTTGGATTATAATTCATCTGTGTTTTTCTCTCCCGACCCCACCCCACTGCTCCCTTGTATCCCTGAGCTGACGGTGTGGGTGGAGAGTGACCTGTCTGATGGAATGGGTACCTGTCAGAGGGAGCAGAACGTTTCAGTAGCTCAGACAAATGGGTCATTCTTATCCTGTGGTTGCTGAGTCCAGGGAGTGTACATGGCTGGGTAGGGGAGACAGCGAGACCACACACTGACTGGGATCCCAGCATGTGAGCGCCTGAGGGTATTCTTGGCAAGATGGGTGGGAAGCCTTGGAGGAATTATCTGAGCAAATTAGCACAAGGCCCAGGGACTAATTGTTACTGATAGCTTGATCCTTAAAAGGGCCTCTCAGCATTTTAAGGCTTGCCTGGTGGGGAAAATCTCAATAATGTGTCCTTTCTTTTCACAGGGAGATTTCTTTATTTCTGCGGGTTCCCCCGGGGCTGAGCCGTAGTGCCAGGACTTTTGGATATGTGTTCATCTCATTGTCAGTACCGGTGTCTGTGATTCAGGTGTCAGCCTGTGCTCCACACTCACCACTGTGTACTCCTGCCCATCCCTCGGGGGCCCTGCTCTACGTGCCGAGGCGTGGCCATGGCGTGTGTATGTGTGTGTTGCACCACTTCTGACACTCGTAGACTGCAGTGTTGTTACCACATGTGTCTCGAGTCAGACTTGTGTACTATATAAAGCATGTCCTGCATACACTGACTTCCGCAAGTGCACACATCACAGGTCCTGGGATGCAGTCCTCCCACAGACACCGCTCAGCCAATGGTCATGGAGGCTGACTTTCAGCAGCGCCCTACTCAGACACCGGTGTTTTTAGAGTGTCATTTCCAAAAATAGCTTTTTTCTGGTATCATCTCCAGATGTCTGAGATATTCCTAGGTCGCTCTGTTTGGTGAGCCAAGTAAGATTTCTGAGGCAGCTCCACTCTCCCTGGAATGACACTAGCCATCCTTTAGAGCAGGTGCATTTGCCAAACTGACATTCTTTGACCAGGAAAATAACATAACAGGGTTGGACAGGACTTTAAAGATAGTCACTCCCACCTCCTAATGCTCTGGATCGGCACAGTCCAGTACAATAGCCATTGCCCTCATGTGACGATTGAGGGCCTGAGATGTGCTCCAAGTGGAAAGTGCATACCAATGTCAAAGACTTTGATACCCAAAAAGTGTCAAATGTCTCATTTTTTTTACATTGCTTATATATTGACATGAGAATATTTGGATATATTGGGTTACATAAGTATATTAATTTTCATGTTTTTTAATGTAGTTACTAGGAAATTTAAAATTACATAATTGGTCTGCATTATATTTCTGTTATATACTGTACCAGTCTAGAGCATCTCTGGCAGATGTCCACCCACCACATTTTTTTTTTTGAGACGATTCCAATCATAAAACTTTGCTAATAAGATCATGTGTTTTAAGGTTTGAGAAAATACATTTGACATCAAATCTGAGTTTCTTTAGAATACTGGTTTCCATATCATTGATAAATAGCTTCTTAGGTTAAAAGAATAAACCCAACAGTACCAACTCTCAAAAAGTATAATGTTTTTATATAAAGCTATAAAATCTGAGGCATTGCTTAGTGATCTTTACCGTTTGAGACATCTGGTATACCACATATCTGCACATATAGGCACACACAACAGACCTTAAAGATGCAAGTCTCTCTTCTAAAAGCCATTCTTGGTGTGGAGGAGGCAGGATCAGCCACTGCAAATGAGAAACAATGAGATGGAACCAAGTCCCACAAGCTTGGCTGTGTTTATTTCCAGGAGCCAGAGTTTAGTGAATTAAAAAGCGTGCAGCCCTCTAACCATGGCATCTACCTTCCTCCGGACACCCAGGAGCATGCGGGATCGGGGAGGGCATCCTCTATGCCACGCCTGACTGTGGATCCCCAGGTAAAAAGCAACCACCTACCATATGCAGTGGCATCCTGGGCTGTATTGGATTGGTGGGTTATGGAAAAACATCTGATACTTTCAGGTGAGCCTTGGACTTGCCCTCACCCCTTCCCTGTGAGCAAATCCTGGCTCGTGGGCCTTCTCTCTACAACCTGCTCCTCCACACGTGCTTTCAATGGAGCCCTAAGCACAACAGCCTAGATAGCAAAATTCCCTCCAGATGGGCGCAACATCCTCCAGACTCAACCAGCCATGCAAGAAATATTTCCCAGGATTTCTGCTGTGTATTTCTCCTTCCTTTTCCCTTTCCTGGCTCCTCAAGCACGTAGGCAGTTACTTAAACGCACACAGCTCTGTGTCAGGACTGTCTGTCCTAACCAGTGCAGGCCACGCCTCATTTCTTTGTCTGTTTTCCTGGCTTCTTTTTTCTGTCTGTCTGTCTTACATTAAGTTTTTGACAGAGACAAGAAGTTTACATGGATCTGTTTTTAGCAGCTGTAGCAAAGCAAAATGCCCAAGTTTAAGGTTGGAGGTGGGATGGATGATGGGGAACAACATGTTCCTAGTAGCTGCTCCATGACAAGGTCTTCTACATTCTGGTGCTGTAGGACAGGCCTTGTCTGGCGAACGCCCAAGCTCAAGCCATGCCTCTTTCATGGCACAGACGCTTTGACAATTGCCCTCACATATTCAAAGTGGCTCAAGGTTCAGAGCAGGTCCTGGCTGAGTCCCTGTGGAGGTGGCTTTATGGGAAGCTTGCACAGTACGCTCAGCCCCTTGCTCTCCTGAGCATAAAGGGGAGACCCTGGACCCGTGATGTAAAGACCTAACATAAAGACACTTTCCGCCATAGCCTCCTCCAGCTAAGGTCTAAGCAAGAGGGATTCAAGGGTGGTCACAGTTTGCCGTCTTCAGCCACCTCAGTCCCACTTCTTTCTTTTAGACCCATTCAGGGATTAATCCCTACCTTGTGTTCCTCGGGGGGGCTCATGTTTCCAGGTAGTAACAGACCCCAGCTCCATGAGACGTTCGTTTTCCACTATTCGGGACAAGCGCTCAAACTCCTCGTGGTTGGAGGAATTCTCCATGGAGCGAAGCAGTGAAAACACCTACAAGTCCCGGCGCCGGAGTTACCACTCCTCCCTGCGGCTGTCAGCCCACCGCCTGAACTCGGACTCGGGTAAGGAGGTCTGCCCTGTTCACCTTTCAGGCTCCTGCCTGGATGGGCAGGTTCTGGCAAGGACGGGAGGTCTCTGGAAGAGAATTGCGATGAGGGTTAAGGAAGAGTGCTCCTTACCCAAGGGGTCCCGTATCTGACTCACACCCTGAAACAGGCCCAGGAGATTCTTCCTTGCAGACGTCATAGAATTGAGGTTCTCAGAGGGCCTGCAGAATGCTTGGGGTTCCTTGGGAATGTATTAGAGACCCCTAACGGGCTGGGCTTTAAGCACCAAGTCCACTTCAACCCAGAGAGTGCTACCCGGCACAGTTTTGCATATTGGAGCTTTCTTATTTTGCTAAATGAACAAAGATTTACAAAGCAGTGACTTCCCTGTATCATAGGGCCAGTAAGCGGCAGGCTTGAGACTAGAACTGAAGTCCAAGGATTCTCACTGGCACAGCTGACGTAATGCCGGGGTATTTAGTTCATAGCAACGTCTTAATTTCCTTCTACTGCTGTCATCTTCACCCCTAAAGTTACACACCCATGTTCAGGACCTAGAGGAATGCTGGGCCCTTTTGTTGGCAATAATTCTAGACTGTGTTGTAGCTTTATGCTGCAACAGGAGCAGCAGGAGAGAAATGATTACATCCTTGGACATGCATGACTTCCAACTCGCACACTCACCTGGTAGCCCAGGGGTGAGTCTCTGGCCTTTCTCTCCCATCTCCCTTTCAGATCACCTGCTGACACGCCCGGAGAAGCCAGGGCCTTGGGCGCCCAGTCCCAGGCTCCGAGACTTCTCTTTTCAGAGTTGTGATCAGTTGCTTTTGTCATCTTTCCCAGGCCACAAGTCCGACACCCACCGCTCAGGGGGCAGAGAACGGGGACGATCGAAAGAGCGAAAGCATCTTCTCTCCCCTGACGTCTCCCGCTGCAACTCAGAGGAGCGAGGGACCCAGGCCGACTGGGAGTCCCCAGAGCGTCGCCAGTCCAGGTCGCCCAGTGAGGGCAGGTCACCGACGCCCAACAGACAGGTGAGCATGGAGAGGAGGCCGAGCCTCTGCAGAAAGACCAGGAAGGGTGGTTGTTGACGTTAGGTCCAAAAGGGGGGCACCCAGCACCCACACAGACCTAGATGCCATGTGCTCTAATATGAATTCACAGAAAACCAGACCACCCCCCAAGAAAGACAGTGGTGTCTAGGGATCATTCCACTCCTCAGAATCTTGAGGTACAGAGTCCCAGCAAATAAGTTCACAAAGGTCTCAGCCAGATTTAGAGGCGCAGGATGGTCCGTTAGCCAGAAAATGCTCATGGATCCGTCACATGAGCCTTGGTGTGCGTTGGAACAGTGATTCAAGTTCATTTCCCTGGCTGTCAGCCTCCTTCCGGCCTGTTGTAGAAACACCAGCCCAAGCCTAAGAAATAACTACCAGAGCCATTCTCTGGCCTGCTTTCCTCCTCACAACCACCCCCCACTCCCACCCCACTTCTCCCCGAGGTCCTCAGAGCCCGGATGGGTGGCCCGCTCGACAGCAGTGGGACAGTCAGCTAAGACCTGGGGAAGTGCGCTTCTAGAGCGGAGGTTTTCAAGTTTTTTGTGCAGAAGGGAATCCCCTGTGGCTTGTTAAAACGGCACACGCCTGGCACCTTGAGGAGGCTGTGTCGGTAGTGAGGCCCGCTGCCCGGGATTCTGCACAGGGAGGGACCCTTCCCTGGGAGATCTGGAGCCGGTGGCTCCTAGGTCACACACACCTTGAGAAACTGTCCTGCAGGTCCGTTTACTAACACCTGAGCCCAGGGACCCTGGGGAATGCCTGAGCAAGTCAGGTAAGGCCTGAAGATGAGGGAGGAAGGAGATTCCCCTCCTAGAGTTGCCACAATGATGAGGATGTAAATAAACGAGGCATGTGGCCCGCTGCCCGCGAGTATGACAGGCTTGGTGTAGAGAAGCTGATGTTAACCTCAGGGAGACAGTGAGGACAGGGAGGCATGCCCTTCCCTCGGACACACTTCCCAGACGAGCATTCATGCTACTCTCAACACTTTCAGGTCTGTCAATCAATGGACCACTTTTTACATATGGGGGGAGGGGGGGCGGCAAGGTAGGCTTACAGTTGTTCATATGGAAAATTGAACTGTTTTGCGTACTCACAACTGGAAACCTACTTTTGCTTTGCCCATGCCTGCACATAGAGCTTCCAGATCCTTGCTACTCAGCGTGCGTGGGCCGTGGACAGCAGCGCCCGGGAGCCCCATTAGACATGCACAGTTTCAGGCTCCCCCAGATCTTCTGGGCCTGGACCTGTAGTTTAGCAAGACTCCCAGAAAACCGAACCCAACCTGTATCACAAGCTGACAGGCCCCAATCTGAATGGTATTGGTGTCTCGCTCTCCTGTCATCCCTGCATGGATGTGACTGGGAGCAGAGGGGACTCCAGCCCAGACCTTCTCCAGGGCTTTCTGGAGATGGTTAGGGACCTTAGCAGGGAGCGTGCCCAGCCCAGTCTCACCTGCCACGTCTCTCCTGCTGTACAGGGCACGGGCTCCTTGAGTGAAAGCTCCATCCCCTCCATCTCTGACACCAGCACCCCAAGACGAAGTCGTCGTCAGCTCCCACCCGTCCCCCCGAAGCCTCGGCCCCTCCTGTCCTACAGCTCACTGATTCGACACACGGGAAGCATCTCTCCCCCGGCGGATGGGAGCGAGGGCGGCTCCCCGCTGACCTCCCAGGCTCCGGAGAGCAACGACGCTGGCCTGCCCGAGTCTTCCAGGCCCCTGCACGGCCACCCCTCCCCGCAGCGCTACATCTCCGAGCCCTACCTGGCCCTGCAAGAAGACGCCCAAGCCTCGGACTGCGGCGAGGAGGAGACGCTCACCTTCGAAGCGGCCGTGGCCACCAGCCTGGGCCGTGCCAACACCATCGGCTCAGCCCCGCCCCTGCGACACAGCTGGCAGATGCCCAACGGGCACTATCGGCGGCGGAGGCGTGGGGGCCCGGGGCCGGGCATGATGTGTGGAGCAGTCAGCGACCTCCTGAGTGACACGGAAGAAGACGACAAATGCTAGAGGCTGCTCCCCCCTCCGATGCATGCTCTTCTCTCACACTGAGAAAACCAAGACCGAATTGGGAAGCCAGTGCGGCCCGGGGGGGAGGAGGAGGGAAGGACCGTGTGCTTATCAGAGGAGGAAAGGACCCACGGCCACCAGTCGAACCCACCAAATTGCTTTACTTCCCTTTGCAAGATGGGCACTGCCATAGTTCTGCCTCTTTGCTGGGGAAAGAAGACGAAAGAACATGGAGGGTGTCCCCTGGAGAGGGGTCATCGGGATTGCTCTGCTTCCACTGCCCCTTCCCACTTTTCTAAAAGCCGTGGAGGAAGTGAGCTGGCCTGTGTCCATGTCCATTGCCCTGCGACGCCTGGAAGCCTTTCTGGCTCATAACTGGGGGGGCGGGGGGTTGTGGCAACCCTAGGAGGGGAGTCTCCTCCCTCCCTCACCAGCTCCCCACCAGCACCATCCGCTGGGGCCACTGCATCTCACGCGTCACCCTAGGGCTGGCTTCCCCAAAGAAGCACAGACTAAGTTCAGGAGCATCGGATGCCAGGGGTGGGGCGGGGAGGGAGGGGTGGCCTGGAGGGGTCAGGGTGCTGTGGCAGCAGCAGCAGCCAGGGCTGGTCTGGACCAGCAAAGCCATAGCCCAGCAGCCCACGTGGAGGAGCGGTCAGAGCAGCGGTGCTGGGGCGGCAGGCCTATCATGCACAGTAGGTGCTTTGAGTGTTAAGATGGGCTAAGGAGGTCCCCCAGGGTCCACAGACATGCCTGCGGCGCTGGTAAGGGCGGTGTGGCCAGGGACCCAGCTGGTGAGAACGGGGTCTGGCCTTAGGCTGGTCAGAGGGAGCCCTGAGGGCAGGGCAGGGCCATGTGGCAGGAGCACCAAGGGCCTCAAGGCAGAGTCTGGTTTCCACCCAGAATAGAAGTAATTCCAAATGGGGGACAGTGCTGCGGCAGGACCAGCCCATCCTGGCTGGCGGCCGTGGGCCTCTGGGCCCAGCCTTCCCTGCCACTCCCCCGAGGAGACAGTACGCCTAGTAAGGACTACGATAGAGGTGTGAAAGGCTAGCACAGAGGTCGGCAAACCACGGCTCGCGAGCCACATGCAGCTCTTTGGCCCTGTGGCATGGGCCACGAAGTTTCAATCACACTGTATGTGCACGCCCGCACGTGGTATTTTGTGGAAGAGCCACATTCAATGGGCCAGTTTGCCGACCACTGGGCTAGCACATTGAAACAGAAGCATTGGTAAGAGTCAGAGTTTACCGGGATCTCCTGCGTCTGCCTCATGGTGGAGGGCCCGTGTGTCAGGTACGTCAAGGTGATTAGTTAATATACCTCAGCTGAGACCTGGGCTGCAACTTCTAGTGAAACAAACACTAATGGGGCCTTGTCACCCAGTGTGACAGACCGGGGCCCTGACTATTTCTCTGGGCCAGGACTGTGCTGTACCCCCTCCCAGAGTAAGAGCTGAGCAGAAGACAGCCTCAGGCTCTCCTTCCTAACCCCCAAAACTCAGAAGCATCGAGGAAAATAGAGCCCTTACTTGGCAAATCTCTGTAATCGTCCATTTGGTGGAACGCATCACTGTCTTGATCAGTGGAAATGCAGTCCCCTTCAGGCCCTCCCGGGTCCCCCAGCACCTTACAGTGGGTGGAAGGGCCCCCTGCAGAGGGGTGCAGGCAGGGCCCTCCTTTCTCAGCCAGGAGCAGAGGGAGCCTGCTTCTCAGAACCCTCCAGAGGAAGACGCAAGCCCCTGGACCAAGATCCAGTGGGTAAGCACCCCTAAACTCCTCCATTTCAGACTTGCCTCTTGGGTAAGGAGCAGCCAGTGACTTATTTCTCTTAGAAGGAGCCTCTGTTTCCTTTTTTTTTCAGTTGAAATAAAAGTAAGGCATTGCCACATCAGCTGTGAGAAGCCAAATTCATCCCTGAGGCTGCAGATTCATTTATCGTGGCCCTGCCTTCTCATCTAGATATTAACGGAGCCTCATGACCCACCGTCTGCCCCCAAACCAAAGTAATCCCAGGGTGGGAGACCAGGGAGGCAGAGAGAAAGGCCTTCCCAGCTCAGACCCTCTCCCACTCCTCCCGTGAGCCCAGGAGGAGTTGGGGATGCAAACAGGACCCTAAGGCATGATGGTTACAGAAGACTGGTGCTGGGCCTTGTGTTCGAGAGGTTTCCTCTGCTCAGCGTCATTTCATGCCAAAGTGTTGCTAGGGGCGGTTTGTGTGCACAAAATCGCTTTCTCCCGCCTCAGAAATGCAGCTTTCCCGTGGGCCAGGCCTACACCAGGACTACCCTTCTGAGCCAACGAGTCTATTGCATTGTTTGGCGAAAGGGAACTGAAGTGATACCTTGAGCCGTCTCAGTAGTAGGGGAAACTCGGGTGGGCAGAGCAGTTGCTGGGAATGGAACCTGCCTGCAAACAGCATTGTGAACACTAAACTTGCTGGCCAGGGAGCCTCCTGGGCACCTTAAATGCACACCGGCTCGTGAGTCCTGAATAAAGAGGCAGAAAGCACCGCAGATACAGTCCCTTGACCAACCACCTGGGTTTTTCTAGTTCCAGTGAACTTAGGAATGCTTCCATTCACCTTCCCCTGACCAAGAAATCAGGTTTCTGACTCCTTAGCCTGCATTCACCCTTCTATCCATACCAGAAAATCAAAGAATTTTTGGCTAAGTCACAGGACTCATGATCACAATTGTCTTAATGAAAGTTTCCTTCTGCCTCTGAAAGAACATACACTCCAACCTTCCCTCAAATAATCGGCCATGATATTTCAGGGTCTCAGATTCTGCCTTTTTGCTTTCCTGGGAAGAGGCCCCTTCAGATCGCAAAACCCATGCTTGTATTTGGATTCGAAATTAGGGCAGCATCTTGAGAAATGCAAACAATAGAGGACGAGTGCTGCTGTTGGAGATACACAACGTGATAACATTGAGCACTATAGGTCCCTTCAAGAGAATCTTCAGCTGTATGTCCAAGTTTCCATTGTAATATTAGTCCTTAGCACCTCCTCAAAGCAAGAAAGAGGGAATGAGAAAGAGAGGAGGGGGGCGGTGTGTGTCCCAGACTCCCAGCAGGCCTTCAGACACGGCGATAAACTCTAGACGCCAGATCCAGGCTTCCTCTTAGCCAGGGGTTCTCAAACTACGGCCCGCGGGCCACATGCAAATACAAATATTGTATTTGTTCCCGTTTTGTTTTTTTACTTCAAAATAAGATGTGCAGTGTGCATAGGAATTTGTTCATAGTTTTTTTTTAAAACTATAGTCCAGCCCTCCAACGGTCTGAGGGACAGTGAACTGGCCCCCTGTTTAAAAAGTTTGAGCACCCCTGCAGTCTTAGCCAAGATCAGGAAACATTTACTGCACCATAAAGGGGTGGTGGCCTGTCCATCCTTCTAGCTGAAGAATCCATTTCTGTCCTGGGCTTCCCTACTTCTTGTCCTTGTGGGGTTCTGAGATCACTGAGAACGTTTCTCTGAAGCTGAACTCCAAATGTTCTGAATTTTGCCCTCCCTTGGCTCTGAGGCCACAAAAGACAGACCCCCATGTTCCATAAATCTACCAGCATCTCCCTTCCTGACTCCCCTCACCCCCCACAAAGTGTGGTAAACTAAGTGCCCTCTGTTCTCCATCCCAGCATTGTTTTGCTGCATGCTAACACTGGCTCAGCTCCTACGATGGCTCAATCTACCCAATCCAAGCTTATGTGCTCACCTGCCTCTGCTGTCCTCACTGCTACTGGACAATGCTTTATTCTCATGAAATGCAGGTGGGAACTCGCCAGGTGATCCGAAATAGTGTAAGGTGCTGGATTGTTCGGAGGAGTGGGGAATGTGTGCGAAATGTCCACAGACGCAATGAAAGCCCTCGGCAGGGAAATTAGGTCTCTCCGGGCATAATGGAACAAAATTTAATAATTTGGTTTTTTAAAGAACGTTCTCAATTTTTCATTACATTCTATTTCTAAAGTCTGCTCTGGATGCCTTGTTTTTGGACAGAGTATTTCTTTAGTGGGTCGAGCCAGGGATAAGTTGAGAGGTGCTTCCATTTCTCAGCCTACCTATAATATATTAGATGTAAATATTATAAGGTTGTATTAAAAAAAAAATAAGGCAGGGGGGCAGATAGTTAACCTAACCTACCTTGCAGGGATCTGTGAGACGTGAAGGTTAAGGAACGTTGCTATTTTTATCAGCTTTACATCTGCTGTGTTTTGAGATCCTCAAAGGCATAAAGAATGGTGGTGAGGAGAGGCACACACATCCTACCTGTCCTTCCCTCCTGGACTCTGGGACACTGAGGACATTAAGATGCAGAAAAGATGGAAAAAGTGGGCCCTTTGTAAGTGGCCAGTCAGGGCATAACAGTTTAACTCCCCAAAAGCCCCATAAAGAATCAGGTCCAGGTTCAGATAACTATATATCCACACTGAGACTCTCAACAAAAACCAGAGGAAATGAACTCAGCAGTTAGGACCTAACCGATCCGTGAGGAGTTCCCACATTCACAAGCACTGCCTGGATTAGACTCTTTGTCTTTTTTTGATATTTGATCTTTCCTCTCTGAACTGCCTAGTACACCGTAGCAAGGCCTAACCCAGCGGAGCAGCAGCCGATGGCTCCTCTGCTGGCTACAGACTGTCGGGGTCCCAAGCTGCTTCTCACCCAGTCATAGAATATGGACGTACCACTAGGGGGGACAAAAGCCTAGGGACAGAAACAACCATCTTTGGTTTCTGATGGCTACCTTTTTCTTCCCTTGAATCCTTCCTGCTCCGACCCTCTGTGGCTTCTGCATCCCAGAGAGATCACTCTAAGCCAAAGATGATAATTCACAGGTTGTCCCAACTACCCAAAGGGCCTGGAAAGCTGCTCTCACAGAACTCAAGCCAGTTGAGAAGTGAGAGTGGGACTCACAGCAGAGTCTAGTAGTTGCATGGCAGGTGAGGCTGGTGCCCCACGCTGCCCCTTCTATTTTTGTAGTCTTGCTTCCTTCTGCTCTCGGCCCCAAGCTAATAATAGGGGGGCTAGTATCTTGACCTTCAAAATGCAAAAACCGATTTTATAATAAGCCATGCTACTATGTAAATACGTTTTTGAGGTTTGAGTTCTAATTTCTGGGAGTTGAGTAGATCAGGTAAAAAGAGGTAGGGGATGTGTGTTTATTTTTATTTGGGTTTTTGTAATAGAGCTGCTCTACAAGGTCCCAGGAAGATACAGGTGTGCTCTGCAGTGTTTCTAGGAATTAATTCTTGTCCAGTTGAATGATATACCAACTGAGTCAAAATCCCAGGTTATACACCGCCAGCCCCCTCTTCTCTCTCGGGCTTTCTTTTTGTCTTTCTCCTTTCCTCCCTGTTTCTCTATCCCTATCTCTTTGTCTCTTCTCCTTCTATGGATCTAAAATGTAATCTAGATTAATGAAAAACTTCCAAGGAAAGAATAGAATGAACACAGAATTTTTCAGGACATCTTTAACCAATAAATACACAGCTTGTGTCTTTATGAGAAGATCAAACCATTGAAAAGCAGTATAGTAATTGGGTAAGTGAAAATTATTGGGAGTCAAAAATAAAAAATTATAGTCTAGCCTTCTTTAGGCATGTGTGCCTCCAGCAAGGGTATTCCATCTCTACTTTCTTTCTCATGTTAGGAAGCTTGAAATTTTCCCAACTTGTGGCTAGCTCATGGGTGTGTCGAGTATTTTTAAGTTAATAACTAATTAATTAAAGCCCTTAGTCTCAACTTGAAATCAACTTGAAAAAAAGCCTGTAAAATTCGTGGCATTGCTGTGAACCTTTAATTTTTTAAAGATCCTTCATGGTTAAGAGAACGCTCATCCAGGATTTGCATTAATTTCACATTCTATCCATTTCCCCTCTTTTTTTTCCTTAGCTTTCTAACCAGAACAACTATCCAGAATTTTTTCTTTCTGAGTCCAGGAAAAAAGCTGAGTTTTCATGTTCAGAGCTTCCCACTATCTTCTCTTTGTGGACACGTAAGCTGATCTTAAATCAAATAGCCACAAGCTAACACGAAGGCTCTTCACCAAGACCTACTCAACTGTGGAAATCCGAATAAGCCTCTCCCTCCCTCATTCTGCCAGCTTG